CTTATAATACGTAATTAATTCTTTTTATTCTTAAATAATTTATACTTATTTTAAATCTATTAAAAGGCTATAATTAATAGAATAAACTTTAAGAATTCTATAAAAATTTAATAAAAGGTATACTTAAATCGCTTTATAAATAACTTAGCTACTTTTATTCTTTAAACGCGCTTTAAATATTATATTTATTTAAATATTATTATAAATTTTTAAGAGTATATTTTAAGCCTTTAATATTTAAGTTAAGTTATCTTTAAGAACCTCTTAGTATTATATTAATTCCCTTCTTATTTTTATAGTTTTTAGAACTTTATAAAAAAACACTTCTTTAATAGTAGAAATTAAATTAACTTACCTTAAAATAAACTTCCTTAAAAATAAAGTTAAGTAAATAAGTATTAGAATTTTATTTTATAATCGTAGTAATCTCTATTAAAAATATTCTACTAGTAAGGTAAATTAATCTTTATATTTACGTGCTAATTAAATTCTTTCTTTCTTTAAGAAATAACCTATATAATCTACGCTTAAGGCGAAAAGCTTTATCTTACGTTTACTTAGCCTAATAAAAGCTTATATTACTCTTAAAAAATACCTCTTTTACATAAAGTTAAAGTAGTTTTCCCACGTTTTTAATTCTAAGTAGTAGTTATTAATATAAATAAAAAATAAAGTGTAAATATCTTTTATATACCCTAGAATTAACTCTAGTTTCGTTCTATCTTTAAAGAATAAGTATTTAAACGCTGTATCCTTAAACCTAGCGTAGGTAGCTAGTAATCCCGTTAAGCTTGAAGGTATATTATTATATTAAAATATCCCGTTTAGCCTAGTAAAAGCTATCTTATATTTATTTATTAGGTTAGTCTTAATAGCCTAAAACCTATTTAAGGTATTAGCTTAAGAGAAAATAATAGAGCGCCTATAATATACTAAGTTTAAATCTGCTTTTATATTATAATAGGGATATTTAGGTTTAATAGTTTTACTATTAATATCGCAATAATTATATATTACCCGAAATTCCTTTAAGCCTAGCTTATCTACGAATAAGGTTAATATAACCTAAGAAGAGTTTCCCCTTTAAATAATTCTAGCTCGCTTTATAGTGGGAAAAACCTTACGTGAAAATTCTTAGTGTAAGCTATTATACTAATATTATTTACGCTTTTTAAGGAGTGCCTTAAAAATTAAAGAAATATAGTATTATAATAAGTCTATTATACGAATACCTTTAATACTAGTAACGAAATAATCTCTATAGGTATAATATAGCCTTATAATTATAAGGCATTAATTATTATCTCTTATTAAATCTTTAAGTGTAATATAGAAATTCTTAAACTATAAAACTATAATTTCGCGGGGTTATATAATTAATAAATAATTTATATATAGATTTTAAAACCGTAAGAGATAGGCCTTTAAATCTAGTTTTCTTATATAAATTAAGGTAAGGTTACGTTTTAGTGTATTTATATTTACCTTACCTTTCTTTAAAGTATTAATTAGCGCTTAATCTCTACGCTTCTTTATAACTCTAAGGTTATAAGAGTAATAACTTTTAGATAACGCTTTTTACGGTAACGCCTAATATAAATTATTCTCTTAAGGTACTAATAATATAAAAGACTCGCTTTATATTCGTGTATATTCTAAGTAACTAGAATAAAAGCGCGGTAATAGATTATTCTTATTTAAATAGTATATTATATTTAAAGGTAAGCCTTTAAAATAGAGAGTTCTAGCCCTTACTTTTAGAGATAATTAAAGATTTTCGAGATTAAAAGTTAAGTAATTAAAGTAAGGGTAATTATATTATAATAATTAAAGCTTATTTTATTTTTTAATTATATAAGGTATAAGGGATATAGTTCTAAAGCCTCTATTCCACGTAATATTATTAATTACGTTATAAGTAGGTAGGGTTCCCTAACCATCTTACAAATAAGTCTTAAGTTAAACGTATAAAGTAAGTTATATAAGTTTTATTTAAGTACTTAAAAACACTTAATATTCTTAATTAATAATTATAAGTACCTTATTTTCTCTTATAAATTTATTTAAGTCTTTTTTTCTTACCTATAATTACTTAAAGCCCACGGGTAAGCAACCCACACGGGTACCCGTGGACCTTTTACACCCTACACAGGATCTTCTGCCATGTACGATTTTAAATAGTAGGTCTCTGTTGTCTCATTTATTTTAATCTCCTCTGTATATTTTATACGCAGGCTTACGTATGGTGTTGTCTGTAGTTCATCGCCACCATGTACGAAAACAAGCTCTCAAAGTTTGCCTCGCCTGAATGGACTTGCATCCCGTTCGAGATTCACCCCCCCAATGTATTTGACCAAATGGTCACAATTTTGGTTGACGTTGAAGCGTGTTTGGCCACTGCCCATGAGCTGATACCAACGCACGACCTTGCGGGAAGAGCAAAACTGGAATTAAGAGCGTCAGCCGAAGCAACCGTAGCTAAGCTGTTGCGGTGGGAACGGCAGTTTGTGCCACCTCTGACGATTCAAGAGATGAACGGCATCTTTGAAGAAAAGAGTTGGCCATCGGTTCCTTCGCCCTCGCCACCAACTAGACCGGATACCGCCCATGATACTTTCCCATCGTCTCATTTCGCGAGTATGCCAGAGGCGGCTTTGTTGTCCCTGTATCACGCTGCCTGTATAGTTGTCTACCGCTTATTAGCCGCAGCGCGAGACGATGTGTCAGCCGATGTCGATCGACTGCTGATGCACACCCGGGAGATTATACGGGCTTACAAGTTTGTGGAAAGGGTTGCAGATAAGGCACCTACCAGTAATTTGGGGCCCGTGATGATGGTTCCGCAACTGAAGATGGCGTCAGTGTGGGGTGTTGACGAGAGTCAGAGAGTGAGGGCTATGCACATGTTGAAGCGAGTCGGCCAGCATCAGAACTTCGCTCTTGGGGACATTGGGGACTTGCAAGATGCTTATTTTGCGAGTGTGGCGTCTTGGGTGGTGGCCCATTCGCGCCGTTGAGTAAAAAAATCACACATATAGGCTTACTAACCATGACGATGCTGAAACTGGCGCACATTAAACGTCAACTGGTTCAAGTTGAATGTCGTAGCGGGACTCGGCGTTGACTGGATGCTGCCATCAATTGATGTCAACCATAAAGCGCCAGGCGCGAAAAGGCACCAGACAGCGCTAACAAGTGAGGTCCGCACAGGTTAACTGGCACCTGGGTCAATGCAAAACACGCCTGGTACAAAGCGCGCATCCACAGGCCTGTGCAGACACGTGGCCATCAATGTTCAATCTTCGTCTCCCTTGAAATCTCGCCTCGCACGTCGGTCCGGAAACTCCGCCACATTTGTCAAGATTGAACAATTTCTGTGTCGTCCAAGATGTCGTCGTCGTGCTGCGACATAAGCTCGCAGAAGAGCTCAAAGCCAGAGCCCAAGAATGCGCATGATTCAGCATCAAAACGCTGGCCGCAGTTGCAAAATCACTACCTCGTGCCCTTCGTATCAGCCCTTCTCCACGGCTCCTGCTGCTGGCTCCCGGTAAGAAAGGAGACGGCGTGAAACATCCCCCCTAGACGCGTGGCTGACGTTGAATGGGGTGTTTAGGCGCTGCTAGACGTACTCGCCATCGGGTCCGCCTCCGTCTCGACGATCCATCGCCTGCAGCCCATCTTTTTGACCATCACTCTAGTTCTCCTGGGGGATAGATTTCGTCGCAGGGGGTTGACGAGGGATAACCTACTGCATGTTGCCTTTACTTGCGTGTTGCTGGGCTTGCCGCGGGTTCTCGAGGCCTTCAAGAAGCCTCAGCCTGTAGCAGGCCACAGTGGCCGATGTCATTGAGCGGCCATTTTGGTCCTTTCGCATCATCTTTATTGATGGGAGTGGTACAGGCTGTTGGTAGGGTGAGATTTGTAGGGCCCTTAGCCCGGCTCTAGATCTTTTTTTTTCCCGGCTACGCCTCCGACATAAGCTTGTGCTCGTATGGGTCTCGGATTACACTGGATTTTCTTCACGTTTTATCCATACTATTGTATGCGTAATTTTGTATTTCTTACGGAATAATTCCTTTCCAGCCTTGGTCGGAAGACTGCAAACCCAAAGATTCCGATCTCGAACTGCAAGCAGTAACTATGTAGGTTATATAGCTCTTTTAAGGTGAGGCTTGCTATAGCCGTGCAAAAAGTCTTGATAGTGTAGCAAAATAGATCCAAATGACGCGACTTTGATAGTTGCTCAAAATTATGTCTTCCTGGCCAATCATCAGACCCCCTTAGTTTTCCAACCCGCATGGCAACCTCTTTTGATCGTCTTGAATTTTTATATACCCCTTCCTTTCATATTCTATGAATTTTCCGATGATCAGGCCTTTTTTTTTTCTAACTCTGCGTCGTGTTTTAACTTTTGGTGGAAGCTGTAATCTATACTTTATCTCCCAGTACAGCCAATGTGAATTATTTTGTGTAGTACCAGCCATGAACTAGGTATCTAATGATTGGCGATTCGGTTACGACTTCTCCGATCATCATATTATCCTCCAATTCTTTAAAAGCGTCCCAGTCTCTTCGGCGCGAGCCTCGGTATCCCTATTTCAAGTCCACGACAGCTTTATGAGTGCTGCATGTCCATGTCTCCTGGATCAGGGGATTGAGCCCGTGGATTTCGATGATATTATGAGATTCGTTACTTCCTCATTTACGGGGGAGCTTGATCGGCTTGGGGTCACTGGACGGAGAATCGATATGAATACAACGTTCAGAGCACTTGCATATACTATTACTGACGGCAGATGTCGCTCGCCGAATAAGTCGAGCCGCACGGCACGAGTAGCAGCGGACTTGCTCCGCCAACTACCGCCTGGGACCAGAACTGCGTCACAACGCCATTTGTTCGTGCTGTGGACAATCTAGACACACTCCGTTTCGTTGGTTTACGCTGCCTATCTTTCAAAGATGGAATGCTCGTCCACCCGCGCCATATCTTCTCCAAGGGTTCCAACACCCGCACCGACTTGGCGAAGTGGCCCGAAACGGGGATCGCTAGGTCAAGTCTGGCCGAGGTCGGCACTCAGTCTGGACGTTCTTCTGCGACTCAACTCGGCCCCTACGATTTTCCTTCAACTTGTCCAAGGGGACTCCGTAATTTGTCCGTCGAAGGGCGCGGGGAGTTGAGCCAGTTTGACTCCACGCCTTGCCTTCAACGAACGTCAAGTCCGCCGCGGGTCCTGCCAATTGCACCCCTGGCGATTAATTGGTAGTAACCGCAGTGTATGTATTCCAAGTTTTCACCTACTTTGCGCTTCGCTTCCATCACCGAACTTCTCTTGGTCGTCATTATGCAACCTGCCCTACCATCCGAGCACCACGCTCTCCTACTAGACAGTCGCGAGTCTGGCTTTCAAGTAAAGTCCGTCACAACTCCAAAAGAAACCCTTGGCAGCGCTATTGTCCGCGTCGCCGCGGCTGAAATTCTACATTACCACCGAGAGGTCTACAATGGCAAACGTTCCCTCCCGGTTCCCACGCCATGAGTAGCTGAATTTGCGGCCATCGGACATGTTGCCGCCGTGGGGTCCGACGCGACGCCCTTGAAACCTGGACAGCTTGTTTACGTTGATTGCGCTATAAAGGCGTGCGACGACCCAGACTATATGTTCTCAACGGCTCATTATGAGGGGTCTAGCGATGGCAGTAGAAAGCCAATGCGTATGGCGCAATGCGACATTTTCCGAGTATTCCATGGTGCCCCTGGAAAATTGTATCCCTCTGGATGAAGCAAGGCTTGGACCTGGTGTCCATGGCGTACCCGCTTGTGCCGCATGGTGGGCTAAGGGATATTGGCCTGAAGCCCAGTGAGACCATTTTCCTGTGCCCGGCAACGGGGTTCTATGGCAGTTTTGGCATGCAAGTTGCTGCCGCGATGGGCGCAAGAGTGATTGCAATGGGTAGAAACGAGGAGAAGCTGGCAAGATTGAAAGTGGATATCAAGAGAGGGTCACCAGCAGCGAATATTGAGGCGGTCAAGATAACAGGGGATGAAGCCAACGATGCGGCTTCTCTACGAGTATTTGATGCTGTCTTGGACATTACACCTTCAGCCGCGTCCACATCGACGCATACAAAGAGTGCTATCGAGAGCCTACGTCATGGTGGGACAGCCAGCCTGATGGGATCGACCAAGAACATTGGCGTTCCGGAGATCATGACAAACAGTATCACGCTCAAGGCCAGAATGATGTATGGCCGAGAGAGTATAACGAAATTCGTCAGGATGTTGGAGAGGGGAATGTTCCCTAGGGGCAGGGATTTCGTGGAGACAAAGACGTTCGCACTAGATAATTGGGAAAGGGCCTTTGACGTAGCTACGGAACACAATGGTATCGGCAAATGTGTAGTTTTTACCCCATGATAATATGCGTGTATGACCCAGGGGCCGTATTGACTGGACACATGAGAACCTGTTTTTTACTTTTACGATTTATTCATTTTTTCATATCCTCTTTAACGCACTGCTGCTGTGGTGTCACGCACCTATGAACTGGTTTTCATATACTCAACAGAAGACTCACCTAGATATTGCATGATGACATGATAAATTGGTCGTAAACATGAGATAAGATAAACCACTATGCGAATGGTAATGAAACACCCGGCTAGGCACACGGGTGCATATACGTTGATAGCGATATTATAATAAAAAGATACTATATTGCACCGATTAGTTCTCGGTGGTCGACGGGGGCTCTGGAGGGGCCGGAGTGGCCGGAGTGGCCAGCGCCAACTCCGTGGAAGTGGCTGGGCCGAAACTACGGTGCGAACGGCGCAGGTGGGGCCGCCACCTTTGCCGGCCCGTTTCAATGTTCGGTCTGGTGCAACCTGGTCTGGTCTTCGATTTGTCACGATTCTGTACACTGAGAACACCTACGAAGCCAACCATGCAAATTTGGTCCAATTGCCCAATAGGAACCTCCAAGTCCCGCATGTAATAAGTGGACCTCCCGGCTATGCTTGTTGGTTAGATGATTTTTCGTGACCCTTGAACGAGTTCCACGAAAAAGAAAGATGTACACAAACGAGCACGAGATTAGTGATACAGAAGCGTGGGAGCCATACTTTCTCCTGCTCATAGTGGAAAATCCCACCAATTTGTCACGCAACTGAATTCCATCGAGGTGACATCCAATGAAAGTGCCTCAATTTTGCGCTTACAATGCGTCCCTAGTTCATGTCGGGCGAGAGGCGGTGTGCGACAAGGTTTTTGGCGAACAAGGAGCGCGTATCTACAACCATGCTGCATGATACCTTGAAGAGGGTCATTGCGTTTTTAACGCTGCAAATATGGGTGGTCAACTTCGATTCTATTAGTTCGATAGCAGGCTTTTCAGCTCCATCGTGGCGAATTGCATCCTAGGCGGAAATGACGGGTAAAACGGCTGTATCGAAGGTTGATTTCCACCAATGCCGTTTGCATTCTTTTGCACTAAAGCGGCACCCCTGTTTTGTTGGGAGCTGTGTCAATAGGAGTGTTGGCACATAACGTAGCTCGTGTTGGGTGAAGCAGGGCGGAGGGTGGTGGTCCGGGAGGCTGGAATAGAGCTCTTTGTGCCCAATGAAGTTACGTAAGTTTACGATTCCTATTATTACATAGTTTTATGAAACTCAAAGGTCCCCTTTTTGCCCACACTGGTCCTTGGTCTCCTACGCAACGCTCTTCATAAGGATTGATAGCGTATTTCCAGCATATCACTCTGCTAAGTGAATGGAGAACCTGATGCCATAAGTGTGTTAGAAGGGTCGAGATTAGACCCCGCTTTGGTGCCCTGACTCTTTTCTTGCATGTCAATCAACGTTGGTGCGCATCAGCATGAAGCAATCCTTGCAAAAGCCACTGAATCAAGATAGAATTAGCTCTGAGAATAAAATGGTAACATTGATACACTTGTCTCTTAAACCTTCTTCATAAATACCCAGACTGGATTCACAGAGACCATGTATGATTCCATTCAAGCCAGAAAACACTTCAGCCTCAGGTCAGCATCCACAAACTCAGTTCTAGTCACTTTTGGAGACTCGGCTGCGCTGACAACGCATTTTGTTTGGCCCAGAAGAAAATAATGTCATGTTATCCGAGTCCGGTATTCACCAATCCGTTGTGGGCTTCATTTCCGCAACAAATCCTTTGGCTCAGACGCAACTCGTGGTCAATCGATTCCGTATGTCCCTGTGTAAAAATGGTGTAGAGTCGATGTTGCCTGGAGATGGTATAAACGAAAGCTCACTAGTGAATGGTCACGCTATTGATGCCTTCGTCAACAGCCCCCCATGATGGACTGCAACAGAGTCTTCCTTTTCTTCCCTTGTTTTGACTTCAGCCGGGTCCGCATCTAGAAATGCCCACTATCTTCTGCAATCCCATGCGTGACGAGCGCTCTCATAACATCGGCGAGCCAGCCTCCGAAAATTCGGCCATGTCACCGCGGGCACACTCCGGTCCCGAAGATCTTCGAGACGAGCGACATGCCATGTTCCTACCTCGGGGTCTCTGCCCTCAGGTTCTACGGCGTAGGGCGATGCAAAGATGTGCTCCTCACCTCCATCCCCTTCACGGCTTAGTTTTATAAAACTGGGATATCTGTGTGCCTACCGAACTCATCTCTAAGGTAGACAGACTGGGTTAGTCACGGCCACCAGAAAGTTTTTTCACCCAGCATCTTGTTCATGTCCAGCCAGATCCATGGAAATTGTCGGATGTCTCTTGAATCTATTCTAGTTATTATTCTTTGTCCTTATAACTAAGAACCCAGGAGGACCGGCTCGTCGTAACGGATAGCATCTGAGGCCATGTACAAAACGCTCCACATGTGCTACAGCCACGCACACCACGGGCCATACCTCATCAACAGACCCTCAGGGTCAAGCCTCGACTCGGTAAGCTTACACACTTCAGCGTGCTCCCTTAGGCGTATATGTGTAGTTTACTCACACGAAAATAATATACTGGCCACCAGAACATCGACGCAAACGAGTCGACCGAAGCGACGAGCGTATCTTGAATATCTATAGTCGAAGACGCGTAGACGATGATGTCCGGAACTTTCATGTGTCGCTCTCAATATATAAGCTATTTAAGTAGCTATATAATACTTTATTTTATTTTTAGATAGCTAATTTTAAATACTTAAAAGTAACAACTTATGTGAGTAGTAATTTTAACTGTATTTCTTCTGTTGTGATAATCACCACCCTAGGACGTGGTGTTGTCAGGCCCGGCCAAGCGCGTCCGCGCAACAATTGCCCTGATTGGTTGGAACAAGGTTAGCCCGACCCGATGTGTCGGGCCACACACGTGACGACCCGCAAAAGGGGTCACCGCGGCAACAACACCACATATATATATCACGATGCCTCGCACACCCAGCTAGCTAGCTTCTCTTTTATCTATCGACTATTGAATTGAATTTGTTACACCAACTGTAGATATCTACAACTTTCCCTTATGAAACCTATATTTTCTATAAATTAATATTATTTCTAGTGTATAACAGAGTGCTCTAAAAATGAGACCTTCATAGCCTAAAGAGGCGAAGTAGGGTGAAGTTTTAGCTAATACATCGCAATTGCACTCTAGGAGTGCAATTTCCAACATTGAAATGGTCAGTAAACCCACATAATCTGACCAGTAAAGTTGTGCAGCGGGTAGCCGGCCCGAAGTTGGGTGAAGAGAGCGCCCTCCGTGTCGCCACTTGGTTCGTATCGGGCCCAAGCGGTATCAACTCTTGCGGGCCTTCACCCTTATCCGTGAGAGACTCGCAAAAACTACCGTTGACATACGTAGCTTGTTGACTTTCAGCCTCCTTACTATTCCAGGACGCTTATTGAAGACATATTGTCACAAGTCTATTCCAAACTAAGCAAAAATCAGATGTAGCAGTTCAAAACTAATTTTTACCCTTTGGAATTTCGTGCTTCTGGAACATGGGGTTGAAGCCTCTGCCTGCTCTCCACAGGTCGGCATACGGACTGTGCTTGCTTCGCCAACCACCAACGGGGGGCTTCGTGCAGCTCCTAACCAGCCAGCTCCAATTCCGCCACTCTCGTCATCCAATGACTTACCTCCAATGATTCATTGCCAGCTAAACAACGCAGTGACCAGGTCTGAGCGACGGAACGGACGAGGGCTGACCGGACATGTGGTGCAACGGACGACTGCAGTCTGCCTGTCACCCCACTCATAGGTTGCAGGAAACATAATGTCTATCCCATCATTTTTCCTTTTTCCATTCTTCTCATCGGCATGGCGGGACAAGTGTACAATATGAATGCTTCCGTCTCTGACACCCATTGCATGCAACCTAGTTGTGATGCTGGCCCTATTACCTTGGTGGCCCAAGGACTGAACCAGGCCCTACTAGCGGCTGTTCACACATATCACTTGTCGCGCGACTTGATTTCACGATTTCATGCCCCCCTTGAGCCTTATTTCCAAGCGCTGTCCCTGATTTGGACAATTGTCATTCTGTGCAACCTCGCAAGGCAAGCCATACTTGCGGCGTCCAGACCATCTGGCCTTCCTAAACCGACCACAGGAGGACGCAGTCGACGAATCAAACTGGCAATTCCAGTATCCTGGTGGCTCTCTGTACACTTTGTTTTCAAACCAAAGACAAAAGGATACCTGGTGAAATTGGGAGCATCATCCGAGGATATCAAGGTGTTGCTTGTGCTTGAGAAGTCGAAGGGCTCGGCAGCTTCCATCAAGCGGCAGATCAAATGTTACGGGGGGATATCCATATTAAAATTCTCTACAACTATTGATCGATAAACCACAAGACTCAAAAACGACGACTTGGTCTCCGGATTTTTGGTGGCCGCGGCTTCGGGGCAAACTTGCATTGGGGATTTATTGCATTTAGGCATGGAAAGTTTGGAATGGCAACGGTTATGCGTTCGACAGACGCAGTTTCTGGTCCACATAGAAAGGGATTCTTGGATTGGTTGATATATCATTTTGATCGTTCAATTTCAAATGGTTGTTGCAAACGGCCAGGGGCCAGGACTTTTCGAGGAGATTCACAGCAGAATCCTCCTACGGCCGAAACAACCTTTATGGCCTACCTATCAAGTGGGGGATAGATTCCCTCTGGCAAAGTAAGGTAATTGTGGGAGTGTCGAATACATACTTATATTTTTTCAAAGATGCAAACGATAGTGATGGGCATATAAAATGGATTGGCGGGGGACCTTTGATACGTATTATCTAATTATCAATAATATTCCGTGGTTTTTCTGCACTGTAATTTGTGTTCGAGCAGTCCGGATGCGATTACTGGCCGAAATTTGGATCTCTACAGCCCTGATGAATAATAGCAGCATGAAATGATAGCAGTTCTATCAGACCTTGAGTGTATCAAGCTAGACAGGACACCGTTTCGACTGTGATACTAAAGATGAATTTGTCCGGGATAGAGGACTTTGCTACAGAGACACAGCGGAACATAGCTCAGAAATACAAATGTTCCCATAATTCATAAACCGTGGAACTTTCTACGGCGTACAGCAATTCCGCTAGACAATTGCTTCATGTCATATGAGGGCTGAAGTACCGCGTTGTGTATCCGAGTTGCATATGGTCTGCCTTCCAGACAAATGGTTTGATTGGCTAGCTTGGTGCGAATCAATAGGAAATAATATCAGTAACTGCCGGCGTGTGGCCATTTCCGGATGTTTCTCAACTTTAACGGCTTGTGATGATTTTTGGTGCCTCTTTGAAAAGCTCAGAACCTGATGTCTGCACCTATGGCGGCCTGGACGGCCGACCGTTGGCCGTACTGGGGACTAACTCAATGACTTTAAGCTGTGCACGAGCATCTTAGCTCAAGAATGGTGATTTCTGGACGCTTCACAGAATCTCGGTGTTGACAGAATGTGGATGTAAATGCATGAATTTGATTGAGATGACGACTTGGCCCATGTTGGTGCCATCCACTTCATATCAGAAAGCGCCGTTGATTGCAGCCTTGGATATGGATACATGGGACCTATGGTTTAATGTGGGCGCCTAAGAGCATGGTATGATGCATGAACAACTAACATTGAAGGGTCCCGTGGCTTCCATATCCACTACGCAACAGACCTAGCTTCATCTGATAAGTCTCTGTTTGTATATGAGCGCCTTTTCTCTCTGTACGACGTCTAAATATGCCCTTTCCCTTTACTAGGTAGCGCTTGAGGGATCTAGGTGGCTAATAACTGTCTTGTCTAGCCGGACATGTCGATACTGTTGTTGCACAGGCTAAAGACCGCAGCTTTAAGATCGGCGTAGTTTGTATAAATATAATTTGAAGGAAGTAATGAAAAAGTCATCAGTTAGATCTGTAAAAATTACCCGATGTTGACACGCGCTTGGAGAACCCATTACATGCTTGAGCGGTTTCATGGCATTGAGGAATAAACTCCCACATTCAGACAGGCGATGGAGTCGATCTCACAGCATATTAGATAGTTCTGTGTTTTCTTACTTTAGAGCATACGTTGCATTTGCGCTATTTATGCTTTTCAGCTTCTTTTGGCACAATTACCTGTGGGGATGTACATCGCCTGAATCACATCTGCGGGTGTAACATACGATTATCCACATATTTGTTAGCTGTCCAAGGTATTGTGACCAGCCGGTATGCATGGTATCAGGAAGCCCGTGAGTGAAGAAAAGTTGGTCGTGCTTGTCGTAGGTTCTCACAGGTAGGCTTTAGCGTGAATCAAGAAGTCTGTATCTGCATGTGTACACTCCCAAACAGCACCGTCTAATAGCTAGATGAATAGGCTTTATCTCTGCATCTTTTCCAAGGTATTAAATTTGAATTAGCGTGACCAACGCGGCAAACAAATGCCGTGTCGACCAGGTCCCTGAACAGCAGAAGGAAACGCCAGGTGCTGGGTCTGAGTGGGCTGAATATAATGATAAGATAGCCTGGACCTTCCGAAAGATACGGTTGCGTGCCACGCTGCCTGCGGTATGATATTTGCTGCTTATGACCTCGACGTAAAAGACAATCGCTAATCCTATCGCAGGCGGTATGATTACGAAAGGCCAGGAAGGGGAATGCGACTTACTGACAGACTCGACAAACTTCATCCCCTTGTGCGAGAAATTTGCTATAAACAAGGGTATCTGGGGAATATATAAGAAATTTGCGCAGAGAGAAGCCGCAAATTGCGGCCTCCAAGTAAGCCTCCAAGAGGTACCCAGAGAACAGTATTTCATTACGCTACCTCGGCAGTATCCGTAATATATTGTATCATGTCATCAACACCATACAATGTAGATTGCAATATAACACATGCTTCTCTGAAACAACATATACCCTCTAAATATAGCAAATATGTTGGAAGATTTAGTGCTGTCGCCGCGGGCTCATATTCTAAGGTTGACAGAATATTGTCAAAGGCGCCATAATCGTAGGGCACAACTGTGATGTGGAAGTCTACCTGGAGTTGCCACATTTCCTCGCCGAGCTCCTTGTGCTATCTAAACAATAAAGGGCCACAGCTTGCGCTAATAGGAGACTCGTTTTGAATGTGAACCAACTTCTTACTGTAGTATGAAGACAAAGTCATGATGGAACTGAAATTGAGTAGAATTTGGCTTCTTGCTCCGTGTGTTATATGGTCGTCTGCTCTATCAAAGCCGTCATATACATACTCTTTCACAGTATACCACGCGCTACTACTCCAATCTGTAGAGACCGCCCGAGTTACTTCTTAATCTCTACAATTCCAGGCAAACCTGGAATCTTTAGATATGCATGAATCAATAAGAAAATATAGAGTCGTAATAAAAATCTATACATGGTAACGAAATAACTTCGATAGGAAGGTTTAGTTGTATTTATCTTTGCCCTTGCATTTGCATTAAGACTTTGAGCGATAGGATCAGTGTGAGAGACCAACAAACATGACAAAGTATTAGAGATGTCCAAGCCATTCAATCTCACGATGTAACTGCGTTCATGATTATACCTGGTGGTGATAGGAGTCGTAGCGAACGTATAATACTCTATGTACACAGATAGATTATGCCCTCTAAATTTTCCCAGCGAGAATCTAGATGTTCGTGTGGTGTCAGACCTGCACCGAATCTAATTCCGTCTCATGACCATCTAATAATAGTTCCTCCAGAAATCTTTGACGGCAGAAAGTAAGGCATGCGGTCAATATTCTAGAAATCTACGCCTCGGTTGGTCCGCGATTCCTCCGCCTAACTAACCCCGCGAGGACGACTTCCTCCGCACTTTGATGCGTCCACTGAAGGGCGGCATCATGCCAGAGCCGACCCATAGCCGGTTTGAAGTATTGTCCTCTATCTTCAGGTCGAAGTTCAATAATAAATGCGCTGCTATAAGCTTCATCTCGTGCGCAACAAAGAAGCGGCCGGGACTAGAGATGTGGGTTGGAATCAGCTTGCTTGCCGTAGTAGACACTCTTCTGCTTGACGGCGAATTACATTCTTACCATGCATGCTTTCCATGGCCAAATGGAAAGTGGTGGTCGTTCATTGTCACCATACCCAGAGGTTTTGCCGCGTCATTGCTGGCGTTGTGATGCTCGTCACGCTCCTTACGCATTCTTGAGAAGCGCAGCGCATCATACATGTGGGGATCATGGTATAAATCACCGTCGTGATGGCTGCCGTCCATATTAACGGTAATGTGGGCGCCCTTCGGTATCTTCCAACCAAGACCAGGTAGGCACAAGCCGTCCGGTGCCACGACGACGCGTTCCACAAGTGTTAGATGGAAGTTGCTAAGACGCTGCGACTCGCGGATGGATGAGTCCACTTGAAGGAGTGATTGTAACGCCTTGGCAGACCAAGATTTTCCAGGAGCCGGCCGATGGGCACGCAGTTCGGCGGTGAGATCTTCTACTGCGGATGGTGGTTTGAGCAGGTCTTGAATCCACAAGACGCCAGTGAGAACGGTTGTGTCGATGGCTGCGAACTCTATAGGCAGCAGGCGCTTTGAGATGACTACAGGATCCAGCTCTTGATCGCGATTCTCCTCCAAAGCCAAGCGAATCAGCCAAGTGATGTAATCCTCTGGGGGGAACCAGTTGTGCAGCTCCGGGTCCCCGTTGGCTTTGCGGCTCATGCAGTCAATCCGAGTCTCTATCACAGGTCCAACTCTACGGTATGCCCGTCGCCAATAGAACCAATTGGATAATGCCAGCATTCGGCCTAGAACAGGGTGTAGAATGAGTGGCACGAAGCGCAGCAGGACGCAGTTTCGCAGTACCACATGTGTAAAAGAAACCATAGCTTCAATAAACTGTTCATCGCGACAAAGAGTAGAGCCGACAAGCATACGGTTGGTCACGGAGGGCACAATGGCCTGCCACATGTTCCAGAGGTTGATACTCTCCCAGTCATTCCCAACATCCTTCAGGGCCGAACTGACAGCATGCTGAACCTCTTCATCCACGGCAGAAACAAGACCCGGCAAACTGCGATTTATCGACTTTTGAATGGCCCGCATTCCAAAAGGTGATCGAATAATCTGTGAGTCAAGAAAATTATAGTCGCCATAAACACCGACATTATGGGCCATTCGCGCGTCCACAGCACTCTCGGGTTGGTCACGAAGCCATGTCAGCATGGATTGAGGCAGCACAAGGTCGTGGGGCCGTGATAAGCCTGATGGGACAAGAAATGGTAGGCCCTTTTTGTTGTACTATCGATGCATGTCTCGGTTAGCAGATCGTATTCTCCTTGACCGCACAGTGATGTATATGACTATGGAAGACACGCGTTTTCACCTTGTTGTATCCATCTCGGATCCATGTTTTTTGGCTAGTAAAGTAACCAATGTTGCTCCTGACATGGGACCAAAAACCACGGCTGTATCTGATGGAAGGTATTTCGTCAGGGTACTTTACTAGGAATAAGTAGTCGAGTACAAAGCCGATAATGAAGCCAAGGACAGGAATCACCAGCCAGTACAACGCCATCATTGCTGTTGGTACAGAAGCGAAATCTCCAGAATACTGTGGGAGTGGTTATGCTGAGGAGGAATGATTGGAGCCACTGCTCTATGGGTTGGCTTGAAAAGATGCTTCAACGAGCTGTTCTGTTGTATTCTGGAATCGAATCAGTCTCTTATCTAGGCATCTTAACAAATTTCTCCATAAAAGCAGAACAAACCTTTCACATTGACATTTCTAAGATGCCAAATGGACGACTAGCAATACTACTGCAAAAAAGGAGTATAATAAGCCAACTTGTTAAGTCTTCCCTTTGGCGCTTGTACATGATCTCAAAACAAAATACTGAGCAGTGGCGAAACGTGCTGCGATGCTCCAAAGGGTTTCTTCCTCCGTCCCATGCAAGGCTCTCGACAACAAGCTAATGGGCGACGGGTCGCATTTGGCTTCGCAGGTTACATAAGTCCGATGGACTCAATAAAAGACTGACATTAGTGTTACAACTGTGACATGGCGCTGCGGGCCGTTTATGCATGTGTGTCCGTATTCTGCAGTTAGCCATTGAACACTTATTGCAACAAGGAACTTTAGTTGCTCGGGCTAGCTGAGTAGGAAATACAGGAGCGGCTTCCGGCGAAAGCCAGAGAGGCCCAAATTTACATTACAGATTGTAGGCTAGTATTACCCTCGCATAAATCTTTGCCACCATGACGACTTGCCTATTTTGCTACGGGTCACGGCAGGTTTCCGATTCAACGTGGCTCATTCTATCCTCGTCATCAGCATAGCGAAAACGACCGCATCAATTTTTAAGAATCTAATCATAGAAAATCTACCAAACAAGTTCGGAGTCATTCTAACATATCATCACTGGGTGATTGAAGAGGAATCGGAGAGTGTGCGTCATGTGCGGCCGCGTGGCCCACAGTCCTGCAGTTTAATTTCCTCCGATACCAGTACTTCCGAGTCAGTTCCGTGGATTTCGCGCAGATGAACTGTTCATGACTCATTTGTATTGCGGCATGCTGTAGGTAATTCAGCTCGACCCGTGCCGTGGTAACGAGTTCCTTGCGTGCATGGCATCACTGCCGGACTCCGTACCAAACCCGATACTACACGATGTGCGGCCTTCCCGGGTAATGTAACTGAAACTCTCTGGGAAACATGTGTGACGGCCACGGAAGGTCGGCAGTGGCAGGGTGTACATCTTGACGTCAACTGGTGCTACCACAACAGCTGCTATGTGCAGCGTGATTTGTTCCGCTCTTTAGTTCAGATAGATGCAGCGAGGGTGTGGCCACTCGCGTATCTACGAGCATAAGACGCCTGGCTTGGCCCATCTGTCCTTTTGGGGCTGGCCCAAGTCATTGTAAGCAAGTTACAGCCCGGATTCTACCCTACGGAAGGTCGTTGAAGCAGTCGCGCATGCCGGCGGCCAGTAGCCATTATCCAAATTTTTCTTGTATTGACCAAGCACTAGATAAGAGCCCTTCTAGGTAAACTTTGCTTGCGCAATATTACATCCAACGCTACCTTAGGCATGCTGCCGATCCATGTCTGCTGATCAGTTCTTTTGAGGAAACTTGGACATCAAGTCCTATACCGTTCGAAACAACAACTACAGTGCGCTCGGCTTTAACAGGAAAGGAAATGGAGGACCTTGGACTTTTTGTTCCAGTTGTTGGCTTTTGTATAGCGCAGACTGCCATTCCCGGCCTGCTGCTTATCAAAACTCCCAAAGGCTCCTTTCTCCGATACCTATGGATTCTTTGCTCGCTGTGTCTAACTTACCAGTTTTTTCTCTTATCACGAGGCATCTCAAGCATTTCTATTCAATATGCCAACGCAGGAATGCAGGTCTTTGTCGCAACTCTCCAAGCGGCAAACCTACTCATCTTCAGCCCTATAGACGAAGGCTACCTTTTACGGTTTGGAATTTTTTCAAGCCGGTCCAGTGGTCTCGCAAAAATCTGGCGCACTTCTAGACTTTTTATTGCTTCGCGTGGTATCGGCACTCCGTGGATTGTCAAGAATGTTCCGCAACACCCCAAGGCTCTTATCGCACAAGCGAAGCCTAGAATACCCAAGTCAGCATTTCTCCTTCGACAAGCGGTGGTTTTCGCCTGGCAGTACGTTTTACTGGACGTGTTGTACGTTGTCTCGACTTTGGACGAATCGTCGTCGGGCCCTTCAACAACACATTTTGACTACTGGGAGGTCAAGGCAGTAGAATGGCCGCAATATGTTTTAATGGCCTTGTTCTCATGGTTTGTAGTAGCCAGAGTGCTGATTGATGCGAGTTACCGAGCTGCTACCTTGGTTGCAGTTGGATTGGGAGGCTCATCACCGGAAGATTGGCCACCTTTATTCGGAAGCATGTGGATGGCATTTACGTTGCGCAACTTTTGGGGGTACGTTTCTCTCCCGACTCTTCTGCCATCCAGACGCTCAATGTATCATCATGACATAAATTTGGTTCTATACTGTGGCCTCTATTATGGTTCTAATATTTACTCGCGAGTTACAGCAAGTTCTGGCACCAGTTCCTGCGATGGCCCTTCACATCTACGGCTAATTACCTTACAAGAGATTTTCTCAGACTTCCTCGACCATCCCCCATGGAGCGATACCTCAACATCTTCCTTGTATTTCTTTTATCGGGTCTTTTGCACGTCATGGTGGATTCTGTGCAGGGAGTGTTGCCTAGTCAATCCGGTGCGATGACCTTTTTCCCGTTGTTCACGCTAGGCTTCATGATTGAAGATGGTATTCAGGAGGCCTGGAAGAGACTGCGTGTTTCCAAAGAAACTCATCGAGCGGATCTACGTACTACCCTTTGGCAACGAACATTGGGCTTCATATGGGTTATAACCTGGATGTCTTTGACATCACCGCCTTACCTTTTTGCCTCACGCCAATTATCTCAAGAAAATCGAGAATTAGTTCCCTTTAGCGTTGTACAAGTTACAGGCGTCTATGCGGGAATAATTTGGATACTCGCAGGAGGGGTCATAGTCAAGGTACTATTTGGGGGCGAGCCATAATCTCTCTAGAGGAGGGAACTTCTAGCCTGCTACACTAGGTGCAATTTCTCTAATAAGATGCGTCAGTTGGCGGCATTGAACGGATCTGCAGCAAAATTCAACTACATGAAAGTATTCTTGCCGTGGCTGACTCCCTTGACTGATCACCCTATCGACTATGAACCAAATGGAAATGGAAATTGCGTCATGAATAGACCTGGGCCTCATGGAACAAGGCAGCAGCCCGAGATATTGCATAGGCGATTCATGCACATCCGCAGCACTTACTTCGCTTGCAGCATAAACATCTGTGGGTTTTGAAAGTTGCAAACCTGACCTCAGCGGCACGTAAGGCTAATGTAGCTTTGAAAAATTGGATAAGTGAATTTGGGATTCTCCCTCACGTCACGTTCGCGTGTAGCTCAACACGCGTGTAGAAGTTGGCATACGTCGATATAATATGCATGGCACATGCACAGATGAGGTTCCTCTACCACGTGGTTTATTTGGAGACCAGAAATTTAAAAGAACGCTGCGTCTTTCGAATGTCTCAACTTGACGACTGATTGGCTACGCTATTGACGGCAAAATCATGACATTTGCTGCTTAAACAAGTTTTCTATATTGGGGACTCCAATACGGACACACTGTGTAGCATATGCTACGTGTTGTATCGTAAAGCAAACATACAGATTCTTCCCACAATGTCTCACAGTTTCTTCTATTTTTCTCATTCCTCTGATCATACTGTTGAGGCCCATCACGTGGCAACATTGACGTAGGTTGCACGACCGAGTAAACAGACCCGGGAGCCTGCTTCCACCGACCCAAGTAACACGAGAGCGAACAGCCTGAGGACCGCAAGGTGCCCTCATTAGTTACGTCCCTTAATAGTCCCTTTACAAACTAGGAGACTTTCTTTTTCCTTTCCTTCTTGTCGACAGGACATGGCGGATCTGAAAGTGTGTTAAGAAAGAAATTAGTATCGGCTCCTTTGGGATCGCATCCCCCCGCTGCGTTTAACAAGTACAAGTTGAAGAGACCTTTAGGTAGTTAGCGGTGTTAATCTATATAATTGATAAGGATTCTCTTACTATCAGCACACAAGCAGGCTTCGGAGAAACCCTTAAAGTTGCATGCCGGATCGATGGATATCTTCCAGCATTCATGGGATTTTTCCTCTTTCTCTGATACGGCAGACACAGTCCAGATCCCAAGCCCGGATAGTAAAAAGTTGAAAAAAATGCCCGTCTTCATCGTAGGTGTACTTTGGTCTCGGTACTGGTGTCGTGGGTAATGAACAAGAAATACGCGCCAGGTATGCAGACAAGAGCAGAACTTGACCTTCATCGACATATTTATACCTTTACAAGTTCACTTCTGCCTGCCTAGACAGCAGTTCGCTACATCAGTGTACGGGGCTACAAAGGTAACAAATAGCGTCAAAAGAGTCAAATGTTTGCAAAGATACTCCGCGACAGTGACGCAATCGGTAGGAAGCGCGACAAAGAAACACCAAGTACTTCTCAAACAGCGCTCATTGTTCTCTGAACATACGCAGTATTACAAACAATGGCCATTCTGCCCCGTGTGTGGTCAGAGCAGCCACCCGCCTGTTTTTGTTGTGCATTGTAGTGGGAGCAATGGAAGACGGTACAAATTACGGGCGATTGTCTGAAATTTTGGGGCTTTTTTCTTCTCCCTTCTCCGTCTGCCATGCGATTCGACGTCTCTAACTCATGTTTCACGACTAAATGCCTCTGATGCGCCGAAGATGACAAAGACCATCATTGAGCCATGGGCGCACATGCAGACCATTTCCCATCATAATTGCGGCGGTGGATATAAATGTCGGTTTCGGCTTACTAATGTTCCAAGTTTAAACTGCTTCCTTCATGTGTAGTCAGAATCCGCGAGGAGGGAGGGCGTTTCTTTTCACATTGTTCACAGCTCCGGCATAGCGAGGGGTTATTTTCCCCCATCCTCCTTTGAATTGAAAAATGATACGTCAGATGCTCACTTACATGGGATTCCCTCCCTGGCGTCACTTGCTGTCGGGAATTTAGAGAAGTCTTTTATAAATGAGATTGTTGTTCCCTCGTAATGTTGCACACGTCAATTGCGAACAATCCTCCCCATGTACACCAGAAGTGAATTTGATCGCGCAAGTCGAACTCGAGCGTCATCGATTGACTACAAAAGGCAAATTAGACTCTTGGTCGCTCCAAGCATGAAAGCTTCCCTTTTCACCGCAATTTTTCTGCGTCTCGGAGCCTCAGCCAGACCTCAAGAATTTTCTGCCACTGACAAAGATTCGTTGACGGGCCCAGACAATGGTTCACCAAACACGCAGAGGAATGGTTGTTATGCTTAGTACGTGCCTCACAGTCTTGCTTCTCTCATCCTTGACACGTCTAACATGACTGGTGCTTCTGTAGCCAATCCCCCCGCTGCGGCATAACGGAAGGCGTCTGTCTCTGTGGAAACGGTGAGAATATCCAACGCTCCGCGTCTTTTTGAGATTGTACTGACCCAGCGAGGAGAACTATATAAAACTCATGATATGTATACTGCCGCGCAGGATCTATGTGATCCTCCTGGTGAATATTTGGGCTTGATTTTTAATAACGCCACACTCTCCGGGTGCCCTGTCAAAGCAGCTGCTAAGAAGCTGAGATGAACATCTCCTATCGCTGGTCTGAAATACGATGGTGCTTAGACTGCTGTGAGCTTCTTTGCTTCTGACAAATTTTAAATTTGTTCCTCGATAGTGTGTTGTCAAAAGAGGGCGACAGGCACTTGATTAGAACCGAGGGCTCAATGTTGTAGAGTACTCGGCGTTTATAGCAGCGCTTTTAGAAAAGGGAAACAGAGTCCTGGCAGCTATGGCACGTTTCTTCTATTCATATACACAAGAAGATGCAACGCCTAGTACAATATCGCCATGTCTTGTACATACGGTACATACTATCATCTTAGGTGTCTAAAACAGACTGTTCATCAGATAATGCTTGCTGTGGCCGCTAATTAAAAGGTTGACAAACTCGCCCCCGCTGTCTGAAATCGCCAGTCGCCATGTTTGTAAATGATAATACAAGTTTCATGAATCCCATTATTCCACGCTTCGCTTTCCCAACGACTATGCTTCTTTGCCAGTTTGTCTGGCAAACCAACGTGTACAAAACACTATGAGATGCTGCTGCAAAGGTCCAAAATTCACCACGCCTCCGAAAGGAATCTTACGACTCCTCGAACGATGCTCCATGATGTATGCCAAATATGTCACCCCGCCCGGGTCGGTAAATCAATGCCAGTCGTTAGTCACGCATCCACGATTTATGAGACTGATCCCAGTGGTGTCTATAAGATGCAGATTGTTAGCAAACGCGTTTCTTGCCGCCATGTTCGGGTGACAGCATGTCCAGTATAGTCTGCAACTATGGTGCGGTGCACATTACATCATTTTCAGAGACGGAACGACGTACCCCATGAATTCCTCCCTCTCTGTACTGTCTTGGCCGTACTCATCACGGAGAAGGGCGGTCGCTTTGGCGGGAACCAAGGCCTTGGCCCCTTCAAACTCTGCTTCCCTCAACGGCCAAAGGTCCGTTGCCTCGTATTGATGCCTGTCCTTGCAGCTCCATTTCCCGGAGTCGTCACGCCGCCGCACGGCGGTGATGTCGACGTACATGCCACTGTGCGTGTCAATCCAGCGAGCGTCAATGACATTATTGCCGTCACCCATGCCGACCTCGTTGTAGTATGGATTGATGTCGAGTAGATATGACTTGGAGACGAGCTGTCCATCCGCGTGGTGGAACTCGTATCGGTACTCGGTAAAGTTGAGCTCCGGGGCAATGCTATCCAGGGTTTCGAAGGAGAGCTGAACGTCAATATCAGAATCCCAAGGCATGATGCGGCCTCCCCACCACCAGCCCATCAAAGTGCCGTGTGCCAGCCACGTCTCGATTCCGTAGTGGTTTGTGACATTCAGATAGCTTCGAATAAGGTCCTCCAAAACGGTTTGCCGCTCGTCAGCCTTTAATTCTTTCTGGAAGTACCTCGTGTCATAATGCATGAGCTCGTAGCTGCCCCCCGGTTCGGAGAAGTATTTAGTAGAATCAGGACTGATGTTTTTGTGTGCATTTCTCTCAATACCCTCCGCTTGTATAGGGTTTGGTATTTCGAATGGCACAGCTGCATCCAAGGACTTGGGGGTCCGGAACATGATATAGCCTGAAGCCAATACCATTGCAATACATGTCGCCGAGCAGATGCGCAACGCCAGGTGCACACGGCTGACCCCCATTTCAACGATGGATTGTATTTGTGCTTGATGTATTGTAATGACAGCTTCCAAGCGACGCTGGTTTTCTGTGTTTCTTGCTACAGCGTTGGACAATTCTTCATTGTATGCGTTGCGTTGTTTTGGCCAGGCCAGAATAGGAATCGGCTTTTAAGGAGTATATAGGCGCACAAGGTGAAATATTGCGTAGACTTTAGACATGCGAAATGGGTCGTAGCCTTCGAGACGTTTCTGCTCTCACAGATTGTTCCTGAAATTGCTCTTTTTAAAAAACATGGTTTTGCGTTTTATTCAAGGGAATCTCACGCTTTTGACTATATGGCTAACTTTTGGGACGCGCAAGCACACGGGGAATGGCTTGCTCAACCGGTAACCCGAGCACTAGTTGCAAAGGATGGGGTCAAGCTCCAAACAGGATCGCAGGCTATGGTTACCCTCAGGGGTGTCCTGGATGGCATGGCATGGACGCGTGGTCGCGTGCTCATCCGATGCGGCGTTTCAGGGGTGTTGAGAATCCACCACGACGAGGCGATGGCGTCCTTTTTGTTATTCAGTTAAATTCTTGGCGAGCCCCAGAGATCCATAACGGATATGTGTGGGCTTCTTGAGACTTACTTGTTGCTAGATCTTCCCAATGGGAGACTAATTCCCAGCTCGTCACTGCGTCCTGCGCCCTGGTTTTCACAGCATCCGGCTTTAGATGCCAGGAAATTCTGTCCTTTGTGACATATCGCTTTACAACTAGGCAAGAAATAAGCAGCAGATAACTAGGAAGCCATGAGTCCATGACTGTAGCCGCCACCAGCCAAGGCGATCTGACAACAACGGATTGACGGCGGTACTCGTAATGCCCAAAGCTGGCTGGGCGCCAAGAACAGACAGACACTCAACGTCCTCATCCTTTGCTATTCTCGACGCACGACGAAAATACATAATACCAGGTCGTTGGCCGGACCAGTTGAGGCTGATGTTGCGCTTTCCCCATCGGGTGAACGGCTCGAGTGCCTCACCAATAACCAGCAAGGAACTACAAAGAGCGGAGACAAGGAGGCCGAAAATCGGCACTTTCTTCCAGGCTTGCTGCCGCCACATGCCGCCACGCCAGCAATGTTTGGCCGTTCGACCCGGATGCTACGGGCCCAGGGGCGGCGACTGGCGTCTTTTTTTTCGTCCGTGGGCTCTTTGCTGGCGAGCACCCTGGCGAGGGCTCCCGCCGTGCTGGAGCAAAAGGGAGGGCGGAGGGAGAATAGGAGAAGGGCCAAGTTGTGATACCCCGGCCGTATTGTCAACTCTCCGTCGACATCTACGGAGAGCAAACAAGCACTTGACTGACAACGAGACCGAGGCACCAGATCCATCAAGATCCAAAGAGACGGGATGGACAGGCCAGATGAAGCAACTGAACATGCGACAACGGCGCCTCAAGATCCACCCGAGGCCATTACCGGTCGGTCCCTTCATATGCACGCGTCATCAACGCCCCCGGAGAGTGACGGTCAAGAGCGTTCGTTCTCTTTGCCGCTTCGGCTCCGTAGTTAAACACCGTCGGGGAACTGCCTCCGGGTTATCCAATGGGAGAAATAACCTTATGTGCTGACCTAGGCGCTGGGAACATGCCTCCTGCCAAGCTAGCATGGGTGTCTCGGCGACATGATGGAGCTGGCAACCATTGGTAGTCCATCCATGTTCTTTGGAGTCGCTCCCAAGGTTTCACTTTTGAGTGTGTCCAAGGAATCCGGCCCGTCTGCCAGTCAAGAAGAGGCCAGACGAGTTCCAACAACGGCGTCCCTTGGCGCCGAGGGAATCCCCCACAATATCACTTGCCCAAGACTCCAAATATTCCCCTTATTCGACACTTGTTCCACCGTTGACCCTTGCGCCTACTCATGTCTCAAAGTGCAACAGTGCTATAGATCTGGGGGGCACAGAGTCGATTCGCCAAGAGACTAGACTGGCCTGGACGATTACTGATTGTCATGCAAGGAAGAATTCCACTCCCATAATAAGTGAGTGTGATTAGACGGGCGGTAAGTTTGACTAGGCGCCGCACTGGGATGGGCGGGCTGTTGGTGTCGCGTGCTCAAAAAGGCACACCCCAAATCACTGACATCATACATACACACCTACCTAGTAGTATTCCAATCGTATTTTATTGCATACACGTTAGATTGTACGGCCGAACACGCTGCGACCTTCTAGTAGATTTCCAAGACTCTCTGCTTCACGCACGCGCACATTGCAGAAACATTCCACACATCCAATGGGCTGAGAAAAGGGGCGACAACAGGTCACGCGGGGGACACGGAGAGGGATAGGAAGAGGAATCCCGATATTGCAGCAAACCCGATCATCGGTTGTAGATCATCCGAGACCGAGCGGCCCCCAAGAGTAGAGTAGTTCGAAGCCACGCGTCGAAAAGACTCCAATTGGCCTGACGGGTCAAAAAAGACGACATGTTTAAACTACCTTTTCTTTCTTAAGAAAAAACAAAATTGGACAGCATAGTATCATCGACTCCAAAGTTATCCCTGTCGGCCGCTCGAGAAGTCGAAGCACAAGCTGGCCACGTAAGCCGGCCTAGTAAAGTAAAATGTCGTAATCATTTCTCCCCATGCAACTAACTTTGAACGATCCAAGCTGAAAGTTACCGTAGACTCGCTGCCAAGCCCGCCAAGACATACCCACCAGGGCAATGCCCCATCTTCACCCCCCCGTTGATGGTGAATTCGTGAGGCATCGCGGCAACGCGAAGAGACACGATACGACGATCACGCAGCAACTCGTGGGCATGAAACAACGCGACGGTATTGCAGCGAACTGGCTAAACAGGAAGTGGTGAAGGATGAAGCAGCTACAAAGATGATGGATGGAAGACAATGTCTGCTTTTGATGGCCGACGAGGACCGCACCGCACGTGACATTCGTCGCAATCGACCGCCAGGAGCCGCGACGGTAACAGGTCGGGAATGAAACTTCCCACGGATTGTTCTGCTCCCATGACGACTTGCCATTTCCGGACGAGAGACGCTGGGCAGAGAACTTGGGACTAGCAAACCAAAAGGTAATCCATGTCAACCGGTGCTCCTGAGTGGTGTCTCCGTGGCTTCCGGCGGTCTTGGCATTTCGCAGCGAGTGACTTGGCAACATCAGGGATGGGATCGGCATTCAGGAGACTCGCCGAGGTTGCTGTCTCGTCGCGCCAAATCTTGGGTCGTGGAACGAAATTTTTGCCGTCGACTTGGCGTGGCGGGAACACTTACCCTAGACCCTTGGGTGCCTTAATGAAAGTAGATATCTGAAGCGGTATATGCCAGAATCAGCAACAAGCTACATCTCACCGAAATAAAGTTACAAGTGTTGGAGGAGCGACAAGCTATACCACATATCGCGAGGTCAGCGGCCACAGGGGACGTTCCGTATTGAAATGTCCTGCCGCGAGCGGACATAAACGAACATTTGAAAGTACCCACTGAGCCATGGACAAGGTCAACCGGGCTGGAAAACCGTCAAGTCCAGTTAGAATGCTGAAGAAAATTTCGCCTCGTTCTTGTATTGCTCCTGCATGTTGGTAGGAAGGCTGTCCGATTGAGCCTCTCACTCCAGATGCATGTCGGTGATGCCAGCTGCGTTTTCGCTCTCCAAAGCCCTGCCTTCATCTTGCTGTCGTACCAATGGCCTTACAATTCAGACCCTGAATGTTTAGCCAGGTGTGACATAGCAAGGGGGGTTAGAGACAACAAGAGATTACTATTATACAGAGTATATAGGGGTTGAAAGTACCTGATAACGCGATAAATATTCTGTTAATAAAGGTCATTGTTACAACAGCCAGTTACTTGCCCTATATTATAGTTAACAACCACTAATATAGATCAAAAGGCACGGGGTTATTAGTAGTACAGAGGCCCCTGTGCATAGCCCCTATTAACTTTCTTGTTAGGTCAATCACTCACAGTTAAACTTACAGGGATCAACTTGGATTGTACGCGGTAACATTGAAGCTGCTAAACCCTAGCCAGGGCCCAACATACCCATGATACTGGGGTGCATTCTTCCATCATACTTTAAAAAATGAATGCGAGGATTTACGCTCATACCCCTCTCATGAGCTATAGTGCTAGTTTACTGACCAGCTGAAAGCCTGAAAACCCTGCGGCTCAAATAGCCAAGCCCAATTACTCTGATAGCTTGTCCACAATTCGTAAGAGTGTTAGACAACAAGACAAGATTCCTTTGATATCTGGCGTGTAAGCGCGGGCTTTTGGTTGAGAGTGCTTCAGACTCTTCAGTTGACCCGTTCATGACACAGAAGACTGAGTAGATTCGGCAACGTCTAATCCGAATTCAGTGGAGATTCTGTGAAGAGACGGGCCAAAGAATATGCCCAACTCGTACTTTGCACAAGTTGGAACAATGTCTCATTGGCCACAGTGATGAGCAACGACGAGTTACCACCGACGTGGAAGAAGTTGGTGCTCTGATCGATAGTGTAGTGTTGCAGGGCTTGTTCTGGTATCACTTCCTCCCACGCCTCGCGAAGTTGACGCTCCACGTTCCCAAGCTTGGCCGCCCCTGTAGCTCGCTCGGTGCCGGTCGAAACTGGGAGCTTCCCACCAGCCGCCCGGTCAAGCTTCCCGTTCCTGGTCAGAGGCAAGTCCTGGACTGGGATTATGATTGCAGGATGCATGTACCGTGGCATAGGTAGTGAGGCCACCAGCCGCTGCAGAAACTAGATTTTGTTCTTGACTTCCGCATCTTCTGCAAAGACTGCGTGAGCCACAAAAATGGGGGTTCTCCCCGCGGCGTGACAGCGGCGTTGGCAAGGGATCCATTGGAAACTCGAGTGATGGTGTTCTCTATATCCTGCAGTTCGATGCGATCTCCTCGAATCTTAATCCGAGAGTCGCCGTTGGCACGACATTGCATACTTCTCGCTCATGGATTAACTGAGATTCGAAAAGCCATATTGGATCCAGCCGAGATGCTCGGATGAGGTGGCGCCGACACAGGTGATCTTCTCTTGGGTAATGAGTTTTGTGACTGCAATCGAATCGCCTCTGAGAAGACGCGGGACAATTAAAAATAGATTCACCATAGACGAAAGTAACCAGTGACGGCCAGGCCCCAGGTCAAAACCCAGCGCGCTATGCCGCAGCACGATCTCATGGCCCCACATGTTCTCCCATTCAAGATAGTTGCGCAGCCCCCTATGGGAGAGCACAACGCCTTTCGGAGTGCCGGTAGTTTCGCTCGTGTATAGAATGACGGTGGCATCCTCGGAATCGGCCTTGATGGGCACTTTATTCCCGCTCGAGTCTGAGATCTTCCCTGTGCTGATAATCCGTGCCTCTTTGCGCAAGTTGAGGCCCGTAGTTTAAAGGAAAGTAGACTCATCTACAACTAGGGCAACTGGCTGGCAGTCTTTCACCATGTTAGCAAGTCGACGTAAGGGCGTGCTGGTGTCCAGAGGAATGTAAGTTGCGCCAACGCCCATGATGGCCAACATGGAGCAGATCCAATCTGGACCAGGCTCCTGGAACACTCCTACAATGGATTTGGGAGACATTTCAGGGCTAATTAATGCAGAGGCAATAGAGTTAACCCGGTCTGACGTTCGTGTGTAGGTCCGGGTGTTGTAATTTCCATGTTTGAGCGCGACATTGGTAGGATAGTTCTCAGTCATTTCATCAATTCGATGAACCAGCGTCTCCGGCCATTATGACTCGCAAAACGGTCCTTGAAAGATGTTGACCAACCCCTGTCTGATTAAGGAGGGTTGAAATTGGGCGATGCCTGTACTAAACAATGCCTAGTAGGCTATCGTCATAATTGCTCTCGTCAAAGCCAACTGTTGGGTCACTCAACGGTGCATCCGGATGGGCGCAGAGATAATTCATCATATGAAGATAAGAACCGCGAAGATGGTAGCATCCCCGACCGAATGTAGTTGCTCCTGGAAAACAATATCAATTCTCGTGCTTGCGCCAGGGTTGTCAAAGATGTCGAAACCGATATCATAAGCAGTTCTCCCGGCAACTGTCTCTCCAGCATTGGCAGCAAGCCCACCAAACTTTAGCTTCTGAGCAACGCCGGCGATAGATGACTAGAACAGGGGAGAATGAAATATAGATTGATTCACTTTCAGATCATCCAACAGAGTATCTAATGGTAGCTTCGAGTGGGCCATAACCTCGTTCTGGTCCCCTTCAGGATGTCGTGGAAGGACTGGCTGGGCCTAAGGTGAGCGACTAGTGGTATCAAGTTCAAATACATGCCAATGCTCCCCGAGAGGTTGCCTTCGAAACGGTTGGCATCGGCCATGCCAATGCACATGTCCGGCGCGTCTAGCAAGCGGAATAGCATCACCCCAAATACAGAGAGGTAGAAGTGGAAGATGCTTGCTCTCTGTTTACGTCACATATGATAAATCCTTGAGGCAAGATTCGTCTGGATATATCTGCTCACACTAATATGCTCGTACCAACGGATGGGTTCACGAGACTTCGAGACTTTGTTAGCGGCCATGGGAGGATGGCCAGGGAAGAAGGGCATCCGTCTAGCTTGACTTTCCAAAAGTCTAGCTCTCTACTATACTTGCCCTTTCTACGCTCCAGATTCTACTTCAGTGAAAATGTTGGACACTGGAGAGGATTTTGAGTCAGCGTTGTTCTAGTGTACGCCTTCTCAAAGTCTGCGAGAAAGACTTCTATGATAGCGCCATCCATGTTAATGTGATGGTACCCGATGCCGAGAAAACTTTGCTCCGAGCTTAGCGAAAGTAGCAGCAACTTCATCGTCTCGCCGCGATGAATATCGCATACGTAATCCCGTATTCACATATTCGAGTAACTTCAGATATGTCGCGTATTGTTCTCTTTTTAAGACAAAGAAAGGAATTTTTCATGACACACTATAAAGTCTGTTCGCCTTCAGTGGTAAAAGCTGCTCGCAGTGCTTCATGGCGATGACTCAATAATTTGGACTGCCACCTCAAGTTTGTCCGAGTTCAAGTTCCCATTTAGCTTGATGGAAAATGTGATGTTAAAAGTAGTTTGGTCTTGGACAAAATGTTTCAAGAACCAGAATCTGGACTGACCTTCCACAGCTACTAAGTTTGGTGTGAATCCTGCAGAGATATCATCAAGCGCGAAAGCGATCAAGTCTGCGACAGAGGCACCGCTGAGGATATTCAATATTGGCATATCGATATCCATTTCCTTGAAAAATCAAGAGCGTATTTCCAGCGCAATGAGGGAATCAATTCCAAGATCATCCGCGCTTGATTTTAATATGTTAAATTGTTTGAATTTGTCCTCCAGTTGAAGCTGCAACGCGGCTTGGAGCTTGCCAGCAAAGCCACCTAATGTCAGTCAATATATAGCTTGCATCTAGCTTACGGGAAAAAATTTCAGCTAGTATTCGCCTTGTATAATGCGAGACATCCCCTCTAAGTTTCTGGTTTCAAATAGCCGGGTTTTGACAGGGACAGCGGCATTCTGGCTCGTCTTTTTCGAGTTCCCATCTTCACCACAATTAATATGGTGTTGAAAGCGTGGACTGCTCATCAAGGGTACTGGTTTTGCATCATTGGCATTAACCATGCGCAAGCCTGTGATGATTTCCGGATCGGTCCGGCTCGTGGTCTTCCAGCAAGAATTGCCTCAGCAATGCACTGATCGAATCCGGTCTCCTCCATCCACATGGATCCTGCACGGTAAATAGTGGGAAGAACGGTCTCATCCAGCTCTCGCATAACAAATCCGACGCCCAGGACGGCGCCGAGATGTAGGACCGAGGCTGCTAGACCTTGATGGCGGCGTTCCATGGCGGTTTCTACCATGAACATGTTTGCGGCGCAGTAGTTTGACTGACCACGGTTACCTGCTGCAGCTGCTAGGGACGAGAACATGAGAAAGAAGTACAAAGTATTATCTGGAGATAGCCGGTCAAGGTAGACCATTCCGAGTATCTTTGGTCTCGAGACTTTTTCCATGGTCTCGAATGACATCTCCACATCTTGAAGCCCCTTTTCCGCCGTTCCCAATGCCGCCAATCGGGGGAAGATCTTGACGGGTCGTTGTGACGAGCTTCTCAACAGCACTTTCATCCGTGATATCGCTAATAGTTTCGTCGGCATGTGCTTTGATGGCATTGAAAATGTGCAAGATTGTCGCTCCTACTTGGAAGATACTTTCACGTGTACTCCAACCTCGTAATTTCTTGAAGCCACCTCTCGTCGATGTTCGGGTTCCGACTGGTGAGAACAATGGTTCAAGCGCCCCGAGAAGACATCCAGTCGCATAATGAAGTTGCCAGATCACTTGCCAATTCGAAAAAAGCATATGTTCAGGTACCGTGGCAGTGGCCTCCCAGTCGACAATGGTGCTGGCTTCGTAAGAACCATCCATCGCTACCACGTCCCTCGGACTTAAAATGTGGGATTAACGTTGAGTGATGGGGAATGATTTGAAATTACACGCCGTAGGATCCGAAAAGCTATCGTTCCTAGAGGTCTTGGTGCCGGAATACATCTGTTGAATGGCTGACAAGCTCGCACGCCAGAGTGGTCTGGAAGGCAGGACTCTACGACTGCCGCAACTCCTTCAGGTCCCAATGAGCAATCTATAAACGCAGAGATATTTTTAGGTAGGGCTGACTTGATGAGCATTTTCGGTGAAGCTTCGCTCATCTTAAGCTGCGGCAGAGCGGCGGTGGTAGAGACGGCGGCGGACTCAGTGAAAAATACATATATGCCCTTCTTAACACAGAGGATGAGTGCCGTGGCAGAGACGGCAGACGAGGGAAAGTCCTCCAATGATCCACTGACCTGGCACAGCATCATGATGGAAACAGGCTTCTCCGGCATTGACACCTCAACTCCCGAAGTTGACATGCTCGCCCGACCGTTTTTCGTACTCGTCACACAGGCAATCGAAGCTACGCTCATCTTAAGCTGCGGCAGAGCGGCGGTGGTAGAGACGGCGGCGGACTCAGTGAAAAATACATATATGCCCTTCTTAACACAGAGGATGAGTGCCGTGGCAGAGACGGCAGACGAGGGAAAGTCCTCCAATGATCCACTGACCTGGCACAGCATCATGATGGAAACAGGCTTCTCCGGCATTGACACCTCAACTCCCGAAGTTGACATGCTCGCCCGACCGTTTTTCGTACTCGTCACACAGGCAATCGATGAGCGCATGAAGGCCATACGAGACCCTCTGCTCAAATATGGCTCATTCTTGGGAGGGGGGTCTAACGGGGACCTTGTTATTATTGGAGGTGCAACTTTATCCGCCGAGGTCTTGATTGACGGTCTCTTGCAACTCACTCAGCATCTTGTGTTTTTTATCATACGCTACGTCCTTTTCTCAATCAAAGGCCTTCAAGATCAATTTCTCTGATTGAGCTGCAAATATCTCCTGAGCCTTCTCAACAAAAAGACCTTTGAAATATCAGTGAAGGTGTAGAAAGCGAAAGACCGCCCGATATCTCGCATGATGGTCTTTTTGGCTCCTCCAGTACCCGCAACAATCTCCAGAATGTCCATGTGAGGATAACGGTGGACACCCTGAGCTATCACTCTAGATAGAAAGCTGGTAGCATCTTTCAGACCCGTTGCTTCAACGTAGTACAGGTTCAGCAAGTCATCACCTAGCATGTACTGGAGGATTTCTGTTTCGCCTCCCACCGCGGCAGTGATGCTCGCCCACTGTACGAGGTAGCCTGATCTCAATGCTGTCAGGGTATCTGGATAATGCTTAGCTTATATTTGAAATATCATGGATTCGTAATAGTGAATAGCATACCTGTCCATCATTTGTGAGACATCTTTCCAGGTATTATTGAGCCACTCTCTCACAGTAGATCGTTGTCTTCCAATCCGACTCTGATGGATGACATGACTGCAGCAGTCAAACATAGCTTTGTGATGCCAAGATAGACTATCGCGCTTTTCTTCAGGAATTTCTCTGCTAAGTTTGTTTGTAGTACAGTGAATTTCTCTTTAAATCAGCAGCAGCTGTATGTCCTCGGCTGAAGCACGGTTATTTGCTGCTAGGGATCTATCGCATAGTGCCAGAGCCCATATGTGTTCCGAGAATAATTGTCGGCCTTTTCCGGGGCTTCTGATAGCAGTGTCACCTTTATCTCTCGGACTTGGAGTAGCAAGCCGGACTGCGGATTGGTGCTAAATACATGACATCTCTCTCTATACCACCAGTGATCAGCGGGTTCTGTGTGAGGTGAGACTCGAGCGGAGTTTCATTGCCAAGGACCAGATCAAGTTGGCAGCGTTGTGCGTTGACTCGGGTGCTAGATATTTTCGTTGGGACATGTAGCTGACCCAGGCTGCCATGACCTGGCCACAAATATGCAAGGAAGATGGACTGGAAGGTAGCGTCTAGAAGAGCAGGGCGTATTAGGACGGCGTCGGCCGCTTCTTGCGACGGGAACCTAGCGAACGCCTCTCCGTAGCCCAGCTTTCGTTTCATAGACTGCAGGGCTCTGAAATCGTTGGTGTAGTGGTATCCAAGATTTCCGAGAGAGGAGTAGAAATTGTCCTAGCGTACATCCATATACACGGCGTCTGTGTGTTTCTCTTCTGATACTCAAAGACGTTGACTGACTTGGGGATACCTGTCGAGACGATCAGTCTCCCACTTGCGAGACTGGCCAAAGTATCGGACTTGGAACTGGTAGAAGCATGAAATTTGAATGTGGCACAGATCTGACCCGGAGCCTTTCTCTCAATGTCCGACAGCGCAAGTAATGATTAAGCGTCGGATTTCTCATCTTGAAACACCAGCACTCTGCGAATAACAAAGTCAAGGATGTCAATGACGCCAATTTCTTCACCTTCTTCAACAAAGCGTGCTGATTTTATGGCAGAAGAAATTTAAGCAGCAGCCGGGTATACCATTTGCCTTGTATCTGTTGCCCATGGATCCAAGACAGTTACTAGGTCGGACAAGGTTCCGCCAACGAATCTTGTTATCCAGTCCCTGTGGCAGATGGGTTCCAAGATGCGAATGAAGGGATCGTTCCGGGCGTTATAAGCCCTTGAGAGGCGAGTTTTATGCCAGAAAATGCGATCGTGATCCCATAGGTACGCTGGCAATAACAAAATAAGGTTCTGCCCACTATCTCCCGAAAGTAACAAGTCGGCGGTGTTAAGGTTTATGAACGACGTGGTGAAATGAGACCACATGTACCCAAGTGTAGCAGATAATGGTTTAACGTCGTGCATGTTATGCTACAAGACGCCGGTGTATGCGGGTGCTATCGCAGAAACTTTGCCATGTCTCGATTACTGGCCCCTTTAGAGCAGGGTAAGGTCCGACTTTAGCAACGAGGTTTAAAGCATCCTCGTTTTTCAGCGCAGTCCGCATGACCTGATAAAATAAAACAGGCTAGCGCATATTGTCCCTCTAATACTCTTTTTCTAAAACGGCACTTGCAGTTATTATAGTATTTTCGCTCACGCTCGAATACTAGCGGCATTCTTTTCTCCCTTCCTAATGTTAGATGCTATAAGTTCATAAGGCTGCGACATATCTAGCAGATTTAGGAATTATGTGGTGCGAATGGTATGCTTGGTTAACTTTTAGCCATCTTACAAACCTTTTTCATCTTTAAACAGCACTTTAACCTCTTCAATCGCGTCTTCATTCCCCGAGACAGTCACGATCGACGGGGAGTTACAAGAGGCCAGACAGACGCGGCCTTTATACTTGCCTAAACTGCAGGCCCCTTCAGCAACCTTAATAGTCGTACCGACAGCCAACGTGGGTCCCTTCGTATGATATGTTGAGCTAGCAACGTAGAATTCGCGATAGTATGCAAATCTTGAGAGCATCTTCCTAGAAAATGAACCCTGTAGCGCATGCTACCGCAATCTCTCTCCGGAAGAATGGTCCACCACTGCTTGGAACTCGACTCCGCCAGCTCTTAGAATATCTATAAGAGCAATTTGAACAGCGGTGCAGAGTCTCAGTGATATGGCTGCTTCACCGATGCGAGATCTTGTAGGATCGGCTGCCAACTCTTGGACAAGTGACCAAGAGGCCTGGTGGTCTTTTGGCAAGCCGTTGAGAACGTCCTAGAAGCCATCCCATGATTTCCGCGACTTCTCTGATCCCAAAACATTCTCTCGACTCATGGTGGCCCACTGAGAACCCTGCCCTGTAAAGACTCCAAGAGCACGGGGTTGAGACGACGCGGGCCTTACACCAATGCCTATCGCTTCTAGACCCTCGTTGTCCTGTATATGCTTGTCTATGTTGGAGGCCAGGTTATTATAAGTTGTAGCCGGAAATGATTCCCTCGCTCCCAGAGTTGAGTGTCGTGAGTGCAAGGTATAAGAAAGGTGGCGGTGCGAGAACGATGGGTTAGCTTTGAGATGCGCCGAGTAGGCTTTAAGCATCTTCGTAAGCGCCGCCTCTGACCCGGCAGAGAACACGTATGGAGTAAAATAGCATATTGGGTAGAATAGCCCCCTTTTTTATCGCCAGTGATACCTTCAATAGTCCAGCTAAGCCTGCCGTTCCCCCAGTATGGCCCAGTACCGTCTTAATAGACCCGACATAGAGAGGATCATTTGGCGAAGAGCTTGACGTGTCGAGCCCGAAAAAGGCCCTTTTGATAACCTCGACCTCCTTACTCAATCTGTCAGATATGCCTTGATGCCAATGGAAGAAATCACTCATGCATGCGTCGCCAGCCGTAATTACAGTACCATGGGCCTCGAAGTATTGACAACGTTAGTTTAGATCCTCTAGGTCCAACCCTGCTTTTCGATAAGTTCTTGTGATTTAATACAGCCTGTGCTAGAGGATTTGGCATGGTGATTCCTTTAGTCCGGCCATCCGAGTTGACACCTGTCTCGCGAATGATGCACTCGACATGGTCACCGTCCCGGATCGCGTCGCCGAAACGCTTTGGAATGACGGAGACACTACCCTCTCCGGGGACGTAGCCATCGGCATCGGCATCTCACATACGGGACCGACTTCCCGGCGACAGCATCTTAAGCTTCGCCTCCCCAGTGTAGAGCTCTGGGCCAAAACGAGATTGGTATCGGCGGCGACGCCAAGATCGGACTCGCCGCTGTGAAGGAGCTGAACCGCTTGGTGGACAGCTACCAAGCTGGAAGAGCATGGAGTTTCAGTTATCATAGAATGCCCGCGCTAGTCAACGAAGCAGGGTATTCGATTAGATATAATGGTTCGAGCGGTGCCGGTCCCCATGTACGTTGGTATCGCATCAACGTCGCGCTGTAGATGGTTGGCAAAGTCAGCACACATTCAGCCGATGTAGACTTCCCTTTGTGACCCGACAAGAGGCGCAACAGGCAGTCTGGCAGCTTTAAGAGACTCATAGTCGACCTCCATAATCAATCGTTGCTGTGGATCGACCGAACGGGCATCTTAGATATAGGCTTGACATTGAAGAATGCCGCAGCAAAAAGCTGCGGATCCTCGAGCAGTGTGTACGGTTCTGTGACCTATGCAATGCATTGGGGTGATAGAACGCATCAGGCCTGAGCCTTTCCCTTGGAATCTTGGTCAGTAGGTTCACTGGTTCTTTCAGGGCCTCCCAGAGCTTCGAAGTTGTATCAAGGGACCCCGGAAACCGACAAGTGCTTCCGACGACAGGAAATTGGCTCGTTGCCAGAGGAGCTGTGGCGAATACTACCCATTAGCGATTGAATGTACGATCGGTTGTATAAATAAAGTTGCGTCATACGCAGAATGATTGACAGTTTTTGCTAGGAAGTCCGGATGTGCATTTGCGTAATCACCAACTGGAAGACGGAGGACATTCCAACTCTTTTCAACAAACTAAGACGGGACTAGCCTCCTATATTACGGCTTCCTGAAGGTCTATTCAACAGAGCTTCGGTATCTAGGAATATCAAGCTGGCCAATATACCAATTTGAAACCCTCAAGTCAACCAATGAATCCTTAGTATTAGTAGCCTACCCTGGCTCCTCGAACTAGCATTAGCACCCTAAGCGAAATCCTTACCAAGTAATAGTGTTCACTGATGTTTCAGACTGTGGAGCCGGAGCCGGCGGCTGCCGTCCGTCGGATACAGCATAGCCGCCGTTTGTTCACGGTCGTCCCGAGGGTCGAGGGCTGCTCGTGAAACACACGGCGCCAGCGCGATGGCAGACAGGGCTCATTTTCGTCGCCCTGAAGAGTATGTTAGGATAACACTTATCATTATCTAGTTATAAAACTAAGACGCCAGATAAACACTCTGCGATTAACAGCTCGACGTATAATTCGTCTTCCGAAGGAATTCGCTAGCTGTAAAATCTTGACAGAGGTGAAATGCGTCTAATATGATGTTTCAAATCCAGTCAACTTTGAGAACAGCGCCCATAGCTTCATGAATGACACTTCCCCAATACGGCCCGGATAAAACTTTCCGCGCACTGGCTGAACAGCGAATGTCGTCGCTAAGAAAACGCCCTTTCCTTCCTCTAATAATAGCCTGTACCCTCCATCAAGAGAGAGACCCAATGCCATAATCCATAGTCTGCCAAGATGCCACACCACAAGTGGCATTCTTACTTGCCAGCAGCTCCGCCACCTGCGGCAAACCCTCCAATGTGCCTCCAGCGCCCGGGACAGCCAAGGGTTCCATGGCCATAACGTCAATCTCACTTCCCAGTTGGCTCAAATTCTCCAGCTGGCCAGAAGCATCGGTCAAGTTCGCAGTAGGAACCGGAACCTCTGCGCCAGTTTCCACGCTGTATGCGATTTCCGGGGTGGAGGCGGGCAAGGCGCACGACTCCATTCCCGCACTGGCTCTCCATAAGCTCATTTCTGCAAGTAGTTGCTGCCTCTCTGCGAGCAACGAGTCGATAACCATCTGTGACTCGGAGGCCTTTTGGTTCATCTCCTGCAGGTGCGCTATGGCTTCATCTACGACGACATGCTTGGAGAGTTTGCCTGGATCCACCGAGTTCAGCGAAGGAATGAGAGCCGCCAGGTTCTGTTGAATGTAAGCGATCCGTTGGTTGAGAGCGTTCAACGATATATCTGGACCGATGTAAGACGGCCTACCTGTAAGCTTTCTTTGAAAGCCTCTCGCCGCGATCGTTCGAAAACACGGTGGACTGCACGGTCATCGGCGGTCCAATTTCGGACCCGTTTCTTTTGTTTTTCCTTATTTTCCGAGTGTGAAGGCGCCATAGCTGTGCGATTCGGACACTATTAGAAGCAAATCAACCTTGACCGAGGAGCTCGAAGTGCGCTTGACTTGTGCGAGAACCAGTCCCGATCAAGTCCCAGTGGTGACGACAGAAATACGTGGGAGGGTAGTTGCGGGTTGAGAAACTCGGTAGCACCCCAGTAACTCGGCTTGAATATGATGACTGTCCTAACGGCTAAAGGCCTTCCCCTGTTTCCGAGCCGTCAACAGTTGGAGTGCGGGGGTGGGGGTATGTCAAAGTCAAATGTCAAGTCAATGTATTGGCACTGGACTACTCCGCATAGGGTTGGGTATTTGTCCACCTATACGATGACGGTGGCGTTCGTCAGAAGCAAGGGTCCAAACCGGGAGCAGCCAAACCGGAGCTGCGAAGCTTTGGAAGCTGCATCTACTGACTCGATTCATGAAACGGTGGATCTCTCCACCTACTGTAACGAATATGTACACTGTGAAGGAGAAATATCTTGGATGGGGGTTATAGAACTATCCAACCCATTGCAAACTACACCACATTCCCAAGAGCTGCCTCAACCTTTTCCTTACTCCTCAGTTCCCCTCCTGTAAATAGCTCCAGGGCAATGGCAAGTCTTTCCTTCGACACCGGATCAGCCTCAATTGCCTTGGTAAGCTCCGCCCCTCCATTAGCCAAGTAGTCAATGTCGGTGCTGGCTAGCTTACCATCCCAACCCTTCGGAGCTAGCGGATCAACCGTGGCAAGTTTTTCCAATCGTTTCGGCGGGGGCACTGGAGTCTTGTACACATGAGCGGGTTTTGGCTGACCCTCTCCGGGCTGAGCCGTCGGGTCGTACTTGAGCGCGGCGAGTTGGTCGAGGACAGTGTGCGAAATGGTTGCCGAGTGGCAGCCAAGTTCACCTGCAGCCATCGCTTCTTGGGGGGAGATGAAGCTTCAAAGATGTCAAGTTAGGAAGGGTCATCTGATTTTTGAAAAGGGATCACATCGTACCTTGCGTTCTTCAATAGAGGTTGCTCAACGCCAGTCTCCTTGTACAGGCGCTCATAAGTTCGGAGAATCTGGTACAGGCGAGCGCTCATGGGGTGCTCGGCTGCAGGATCCTTGACATTGGGCCAAAGGCTGTGGTCATCATGAGCACGAGTCTCTGGGGCCACCCGTCAGTCATTGTTTCTCGGGGCCTTGCAGGTCCTGCGTACATACCGTTGTAGTAAGGGCTGATGTACAGCATACCAGCTTGACTGCAGGCGATGGCTTGCACTAGACTAAACAACGCAGTACCCAGGGTAGGGATACCTTCTGCGCTCAAAATCTTGGCGGCATTCAAGGCAGGGCCAGTGGATGGGATCTTGATACAGTATCTATCTCTACCGATGCCGGCTCGTGCGAATTCTTGGTCGTACAGCCGGGCGTGGGACAGAGTTGCTTCGGTGTCGTATGCTTTTGATGGCAAAGTCTGCAGAAGCACTCGGCCCCGGATCAGGTCGATGTTCTTCTTGCACATCAAGACTGCCTGGAATCTCCATGTCAGCGGGGGCTTGTGAGTGAAGTCGATGACGGACGCCTACCATGCGCGTATAAATGGCCAACCAACCGTGATGTTTCAACTCGTTTGCAGTCTGAGAAAGAAGCTCTGCGTTCGATTCGTGACCCAGTTGAATATCGACCCAAAGTTGGTTACTCGTCTGGTCGTGCGGTTTGATTGGCATAGCCTTGATGTATTCGGGGTCCATCCAATCCACATCAACGTTCACTACTTGTTGTTAGGGGCCCGAGGATAGAGAAAATGAGTGGGAATATCATGACTTACGCTGCTCCTCCAGCTTCTCCAGCCATGTTTGAGCGTCGGTGCTTCCCATGTTGTTGTTTTTTTCTGCGTTGTTGGTTGTTTGTCTTGTGGCGTATCAGTTGGTTTCGTATCCTGATGGATTTCGCCTGGCTTGAAGAGATCAAACTTTAAGTGAAGGTGACGGGGCTTTATATGCACAATTGGGAGTTCCAGAGCAACCCAACACATTGTCATTTTTCTAATCTACTCCACTGGATAAAATCGCAGTGCAACTAGGGTCGAGGAGGCCTGGGCAAAAGTCACCCCACGTGTCCTGCGCAGGGCATGCGAATGTCTACGTGTCTAGAATCTGTCATGCATGTAACAGATATGTCGCTCAATAGGACAGTTCTTGACATTGGAGCCTGAATTTCGGTCTGAAGTTCTCCGTTGGCGAGTAGCGAGGGTCCTGTTGGCTCACTACAAGATGGCAGTTCTCACAGCTTCCAGGCCTCACGGGTCTCAATGTCGGTAACTATGGGTAACCAAGGCAGTATATTAATTTGATGCCACTTGCTCTTCATCCCGTTTTACAAGTAATAAAACTCAATAACAAGGTGTCGGTTTATAAGCTGAACGCCAATTGTCGTTTATAGCGTTGCCTAGACAATATTGTGATGTGGATTGGAGACGTCTGGTACAAGTTGTGGCGTCTCGTCCTCGCGCCGGTCATGGTCAACGTTGTCGCGGTTGAGGTACCAGACATGTATCCACGTGGGTCTGATGCCATTTGGGATGCTGCGGGGGCGGGGCCTCCATGGCATGTGCCGATCAATTATTCAATAATCGGGTGACTGTCTCCCAGCGGGGTTGACAGTGCTGGCAGCTGTCGTCGGCCGCGCGTTGAAATGATTGGGTGGCTTCAAATTGGCTTTTTGACCTGTGCAGGGACATGCAGCAACACGCAGGGCATCAAACGCCGATGTCGGGTTTATCCATGTCTGCAGACAATATTAGCAAGGAGCCACACGCAGGGCAAGACGCCATTCTCTGATCCATGCCCGACTTGACTCGTTCGGGCTATCTTCCTCCGGTCTGTTTCCGGTGTTTTGTGTCCACGACGAGCCGTCATCGAGCTTCAATCGACATGACTTGCTCTGCGGCACCCCCCGTCCTTCCCGGTCATCTTCAGCAAGAGCCTGCAAAGTCGAATGAACAAAGACACCAGCCGTTCAAGTTCACTCCAAGACTGGTCCCTGTACAGGGAGTCTTGCCTGCTCAACCGCGAGGCCCAGATGGAACAATATTGGTGGTTTAAGGTTCTTGAAAGACGTCCCGCAAATGAATGGTATCCCCCGCACCGTTCGTGGTGGCGTCGCGGCCGTCAAGCCCACGGCGACCGTGGCGTAGAACGTTCCAACTCGCCATGTTATCTTCAAGCCGGTTATGATTGATGTATAAATACACGATAAGGCATCTTGCCATCGTCGAAGAATGCTGCAAGTGGTCAGCATTTAGTCTCCGCATATCGAGCAACCCCGTAACGTCAAATTTTCTTCAACCAACATATGCATCCCTCGCAATGGGCACCAAACCCGCGAATTATCATGTCGACCTTAAATCCGATGCCTTGCATCACATTGAAGATGCTACTCCAGACTACTCTCGCAACATATATGCCAAGTTTGTTCCACACCCAGAGCATGCCCACCACATCACGCAACCCAAGCTAAATCTCATATCCAGAATCCGCAATCCTCTCGCCGGCATCTCGAGAGATGATCTCAGATTCCGCGTCTCATCTTTCTGCCGGGAATACAATCTCGTCGAAAAACAAGACGTCTTCTTCCGCGGCGCGCTTGTAGCCCAATCCCCGGAAGATTACAACTCCATTCCGGAGCTTACAGACCAAGAAAAGCATTTCCTCTCCCGAGAAGCCACCCATAGATGGCACCTTCCCAAAGCATTGTACTACACCATTGCGCTCTGCTCGCTCGGTTCCGCCATCCAGGGATGGGACAACACCGGCGCCAACGGCGCTAATCTCTCGTTCCCCAAGGAATTTGGCATCGAGCACAACAGCTGGCTGATCGGGTGCATCAATGCCGCTCCCACACTCTTTGGCCTGCTGAGCTCATGGGCCGCCGATCCTGTAAACAACTTGCTCGGTCGTCGGGGGACCGTCTTTGTAACCGGCCTGTTTTGCATATTCCCAGTCCTGGGCCAGGGGTTTACTCGAAACTGGTGGGAGCTCCTGATATGCCGCCTCCTCATGGGCTTGGGCATGGGCATAAAAATCTCCACGATACCAGTCTACACGGCTGAGGTGTCGCCGGCTTCGATCCGAGGCGGCCTGGTCACGAGCTTCCAGATGTGGGTTTCTTTTGGAATGTTCATCGGGTATGCTACCAATCTGATTTTCTACAAGGTTGGGAGACTGGCCTGGCGGTTTCAACTGGCTGCTGCTTTTGCACCCGCCATCCCCGTCGTCATCTGCGTTTGGTGGTGCCCGGGTAAGTTCGCTGATATTCTGCAACATGTATTCTGTTGGCATCATACAGAAACACCCACTGACATGAAATAGAATCACCCCGTTGGCTAATGAAAAAGGGCCGCTACGTCGAATCGTTCAAGTCATTCTGCCGCCTGCGTAACACCGAACTCCAGGCTGCGAGGGACTTGTACTATGCACACTGCCAGGTCATTGAGGAGCGCGACGCCTTTGCTGGCGCTTCTTTTCTCAGCCGTGTCTGGGAATTAGTTGCCCTGCCACGGCTGCGTCGGGCTACCATTGCCAGTGCTTGGATCGTGATTAGCCAGCAATTCTCCGGAATAAACATGTATGTCCACCTCTTGCCACTAACCCCAGCACGAATATCATGAAAGCAAACGATTGTGAGCAAGTCTAACCGATGCGATCCTCACAGTATGGCATTCTACAGCTCCACAATCTTCTCGGAAGCCGGCTACTCCGTCCTTAGCAGTCTCCTGGCCTCGCTTGGTTTTGGCATCGTACTCTTTGTATTTGCCTTTCCTGCCGTGTACACCATGGATACCTATGGTCGCAGAAACCTGCTCCTCGTCACGTTCCCCAACATGGCGTGGTGCCTTCTGGCCGCGGGATTGTGTTTCCTTATGCCCACTGATTCCAGCGCGCGCATCCCTCTGATCGCCTTGTTTATTTATGTTTTCACGGCCTTTTACGGACCCGGTAAGCAGTGTCAAAGATATTCAGCGGTTTGCTTCAAGAGCTAATTTCCTGACTAGGTATCGGCCCGTTGCCTTCAATCTACTTCTCGGAATCCTTTCCCCTGTCGCATCGTGAACTCGGTGCGGGCATGACCATCTGCGTCAACAACGCCGTGGGCAGCGCCTTGAGTCTCACTTTTCCGTCCCTGCTGAACAAGATTACCCCCACGGGAGCATTCGGCTTCTACGCGGGCCTGAATATCCTGGCCTTTCTGGTCATTTTCTTTATAGTTCCTGAAACAAAGTACGTGCCATCAAGTCCCGGTGTCTTCGGGTCGTAGAAGCGTGAGCCGAAAGCTAATCTGGAGACCAGGAAACGTACCCTCGAAGAACTGGACTATATCTTCAGCGTTCCTACCCGAAGACATGTTTCGTATCAGCTTGGTACTTGGCTCCCATGGTGGTTCAAGAGGTATGTTTTGTTTCAACGGAGCGCAAAACTTGAGCCTCTGTACGCGATCGAAGGAGTGCTGGATACTTGAATGGAAACAGGAGTGGATTTGGCCGCCGTGTTTTTTCTATTGACTACAGCACTTTGTTATATAGCTTGGGTTCACATGTGAATCCTCTATTACTTGATTTGTTGAGATGCTTTGCTAATGGCGATATTCTTGGTGATGCTTACGTGCGAGATGAGCATAGGGTAAAGAGCCATGGCTTCTCCTAACCTCCCAATCGGAACATCTGTTTCGGGGCTATTTGCCCAGGCCTTTATCTCACAGCACACGAAAACACTTTGGTTACCGAATCGATGCAACTCATACTTCTTTTTACCATATTTGCAACATGTATAGTTACTGATTAAATTTACCGGATTCCGGGGTCTTGCAGGGGTTGTCATATGAAATTCTTTGAATGACATCTTGTGATAGCTTAATAGGGTTAGACCCTTGTTTGGAGTTATATGATTAAAGGCATTATAATCTCATTTTTATCGCAAATTTGGCCCATCATTCAAGCCAGTCAAGGACGAATACCACGAGACTGAATCCGGGGCAATATCCAATATGTTGAGGACCTAGGTACCTAGGTACTTAGGGTTCAATGTTAGTTTCTAGGGTTAGGAATTGTCCCGCTTATGTCTGCAAAAAATCATTTAAACCAAGATGCCAATTGAATTGCTCTCATTTTTCTGCAATTTTATCTCCCCATCTTGTATTTTTAATTTTTTTTCTTTTCACCATGTCGTCACTCAATTGTCAAACGACCGCCATCGCCAATAAACAGGCGGCCAAAAGCCACCCCTGCAAGACCCCTACGCCCTGCACGTGACCACAAAACTTCCATCAAACCTCCATTTTACCATCCATCGCGACGCTCGCGCAACCCAACTCCATCACGACTCTCCAGCCGCCCATTCCGCACCACCATGGCTCTCCAACCCTGCCGCGCGCACTTCCCCCGAGCGCGCCACACCTTCCGCGCCCTGACGCCCTCGCTGCGCACCTACGCCACCGAATCAACGTCCGAACCCTTCAAGGCCTCGTCGCAGGAATCCTCTGTGCCCCGATGGAGCCAAACGCCCCCGGGCATGAAAGCCCCCATGCAGCTCGACTTTGCAAAGTCCTTCAAAAACAAGGTCTGGAAGGTCAACAATGACCCCGCGAAGCTAGACAACATGTATAATCGGCTACTGGGGCCGGGCGGCAGCAAGATGCTGCCCGAGGAGCTGAAGTGGTTGGCCGTCACGCACAAGAGCTTTGACCAGGGGAGGAGAGGGTTCAACGACAAGCTGGCACTGATGGGTACGTTTCTCACCCAGAATACAAATTTCAGGGAAGGGTTAGAGTTGGGGGAAGTGATTTCATGCTGACTGGACCAGGGCGACTGACGCTCGTCATGGAAGCGACCAAGGAAATCGTCAGCAAGGCCCCGTTGCGGGGGTCACGGCAGGCAGACGAATTCGACAGGGTGCCCTTTGAGCATGAACAGCTCGCATCGGTGGACAACCTGAGTGTCGAGGCCCCAAAGGACGTGGTTGGCAAGGAGAAGTTGTATGCGCTGGCGTCGGATGTCGGCATATTGGACGTTTTGCGGTGGAAACCCAGACTGGTATGGTTTTTTTATCCCCTCTTCAGCGACCGCGGTACTAGGTACATGGATACTAACACGTTATAGCCCCAAAACCTCGAGTCTTCGGGCGTCGAAGTTGTCGTCAACGGTGCGGTCCTAGCCATCCTCGGCGCAATCACGCTACAGCACGGGTCGGTGGTTGCTTCAAAAGTTGTGCGGGAGAGGATATTGGCGCGACTGCCAAAGAACGAATAATTCCACCAAAGGTTGGGCAGCGAAGACCTGTATTCATACCATGTATTTTATATTCTAGAAATGAGGGACACGCTAGACTCTGTATAAACAACGCTTTCAAATAGCACATGAGCAAAAAAATGTAACCTGCTATACGCACGCCAAAGAAAATGCCCCGACTACACATCCCTTGCTACCCTGCGCTGTGCCTGCAATCTCGTGTCAAATACGCCCAGACCAAGCCGCATCCTTACTGAATAAGCGGCGTCTCCTCGCCTACATCTCCGCGCTCCTCGTCGTTGACCTGCTCAAGCAGCTGCGCAATCAGGTCGGAAGTAATCAGCTTCTCGCGATACAGCCATCCCAGCGCGGTGCCTGCCCCGGGCCCCAGCACAATGGACGCAATCACCATGGCAAGGGGCGCCCTCCAACCTACTTCGGTAAACACCCAATACAGCATCGTCAGTCCAATGAACTGGCTGTCAATCTCGATAAACTTGACCGTGGAGCGAGTCACTTCCTGGCGGTCGTCTGGTTTCGTCAAGTTGCCAATAATGAAGCCGTGCGCAAGAAGAGAGCACAGGATGGGCACGGCGTAGACGGCAATAAAGGCCTTGGTATTCGCTTCCATGTGGATCATAGGTCCGTCTTGGAACCGACGCAGTTTGTTGAGACCATACCGCACAAACTGTCTGATGAGAGAAACATACGCCGGGAAGAACAACCACGTCCCAATGGCGACGGGGTTGTTCAGGGACAGCATCAGCGTCGACGGAACGTAGTACCCCAGCGCAACGGCGATGGGGATGGCAATCGTCTCCACCAGCTTCATCTGTCTCCCCTTGTCCACCTGCAAAGGATCACGCTCCTCGCTGTCCCTGGTCGCATGCTGATCGCCATGGCCCTCATCGGTAATGAGCCTGCCTGTGCTGGGGAGCGGCCAGGCCTTGGCGCCGAGAATAAAGGCCGGCGCGTACACAAGCTGCCAGACCAGCGCACCGCCAAGCAAGTTGAACACCAGCCAGGGCAGTGTCGGTCTGGCGACAACGGCGTTCTTCTCGTTTACCTTTCTCGCCGACTCGACGGTCGAGACTGTCAGGAGGGCGCCGACATAGGATAGGATGACGGACATGACGGCCTTGCTGCGGAAGGAGTCGAGCGCTGCGTAGAAGAAGCTGACGAGGTAGCAGGTTGGCGTGCCGAGGATGGGGACACGACTGAGAGCTGGAAGGAGTGCGTGCGAGTGGCATTGCGACCAAAGCAGCGCGGCGTTGACGTCGGAGTGGACGAAGAGGGCGACGGCGGTGGCGACGGCAAGGAGCGCAGGGACGACGGCGAGATGGGGGAATAGGGGGAAGTGTTGGGCTGGACGGCGCCAGCGGGATGGTTGTGGCATTCTGCTCTTTTTTCTTGTTGATATTACAGCTTTGCGAAGATGGGATGAGGGTTGGGGAGAGGGTGAAGAAATGAGGTTGAGGCGAGGCGGGCAAGATAAAGTTCCCTGGGAATCATATCAAATTTCAACGTTGACTGACGATGAAAATGAAATGCAGTCTGGATGCATCAAATTGTGGAGCCATATGCCCGGCAGCTGTCTGGTCGACCTCGCAGCGGGCAACATGGTGCCATGCCCCACTGAACGCGGCGCATACCGCCTGTAGCGCAGTGACCGGCTTCTGCCAGACAGGGGCCACATGTGTCAATACATGTAGACAGTGGGGCCAGTCAGCGAACCAGGAACAGCCGAGGCGTCTCTGCAAGTGTCCAGCTGCTCCTCAAATTAGACCACGAGACGGATGCGCGTGAACAGATGATGGACTTTGGGTGTGTAGCATCAGGCGACGTGTTGCTGCAAAGGGGCTGGGTTGAAGAGTCGTTTGTGTCTCGATACTACGTCATTTTATTTCCTCTATAGAAAAAAAAAAGAAGAAGGAATGTTTTAAAGCCAAGACGCGAGCCAAATGAGACTGCTAGATAGCCAAATGTACCAGACATATCCTATCATCGGGCCAGATGTCAGCCGCGGTCTGCGTTTGAATCCCTTGGAGGCTCAGGATGCCTCGCCACCGTATTCTTCTGCGTCATTTTCTCTCGCTTGATATCATATTGATATGTCGTATCCCCGGTAAAATTCGTAGTGAACTCACAGCCAACGGACATGCCAACGGCCGGGTAAACTTTAAAGCCTTCCCGTAAGCCTCACTAATTTCTGTTCTAATCGAATATCGGACTAGGAACAAGAACCCTAAAGTTCCGTTTAGAAAGCTCTCATTACTCACCCAAACGCTTCCCATTCTTAGTAAAAACACATTTCCCGTAGGAATGTCTATCCCACAACCTACGCAGTCGCCTTCTGCAAACGTCTCACCGATCCGAATGCATCCGTCATTATCGCCGCGTAAATCCCCATCGTCGCCTGAATATCTCCGTGGAGACCACGAGGAGCCGTTTTAGCTAAATCTCATTCCAATGCTACTATTTATACAATAACGTTAGCTGGATGCTAACACGCACGCAAGCTCGTAGAAGCAGACACAAAACTTGCCTTCCTGGCGGCTTCTTCAGGATATTGATTTCCGAGTAGGACAGTTTGTCAGGTGGTGCTGAATGGTCTGTCTGTACTCCATTGACATGGCCTGTTCTTCACACGCTATGAGATGCTGCAAGTCTTGTGAGCAAGGAATAACATGATTCAACACATATAGGTAGACAGGAGCCGCTTACGAGCCGTGGGATCAGAATCGTTACAGCGGACGTGCAGCCTCGGTGATGCGCCAGGCTCATCGACAAACGTCATCTGGTCTGACATGCCCGCAGCAGTCCAGCAACGAAAAACACTAAAGTTGCACTTGAGCAGTTCTATCAACCTTGCCCTCGCCTCGTCATCGTATTTCGACGTAAGGGAAAACGCAATCCAATTGAGGGTCCAGCCGTGCTCATCTGTCCGATTCAGGTGAGCGTGCTTCTGGATGAGAAAGTTAGATAGCTAGTCAGTATTCTTTGTTGCTGCCAATTTGAACAATCTGTCATACTCGAAGTTGGCATCCCAAACCGCTTTCCAAGCCATGTTGAAAATCTTGGCGTCGTCATGGCCTGCGGCCTGGAGGAGGAGATCATCAGGGTTCTTTCCCAGTCCTGCTGGGCCCGGCCTTGATTTGGCCTTGTCCAACTTTGCAGTAGCAAGTCGACCAAGGCATCATTTCGCGTTTGGATTGCTACTTCAAGAGCTGTGAGCCCCTTGCTGTTGGCGGCACCAACGTCGACGTCGTCTCGCCCCAAGAATAACTTGACTGTGTCGATGCGTTTGGACTGGATGGCTTCAAATAGCGGGCCATATCCTTTGTTGTTCTATAGACTTGCGTATTCGGAGTCGAGTAATTCCAGAAGCAGAGGAAACATGCCGACGTTTGGTCTAGATGCGGCTGCATGTAAAGGGGAAACCCCCCTTCATTTTCACAAATGGAAGGATTTGCTCCGTGCTTCAGCAACTCTTTAGATATATTTTGATTTCCTTCTTGGAGGGAAAATAACAGCGCTGTATATCCGCATTCGTCGGCTGCGTCTTTGAGAACCCCGGCTCTCAACAGACGGCGAGCTACCGTAATCGAGGCATAACCTGCGCTCAGAGGTCGCTGTCCAAATGGGCCTTCAATTTCCTTATCAAGCCCATTGTCAAGCAGTGCTGAGAGGGTGGAAACTTTCTCGTATTGTGCCGCAATGTACATCGCAGACCACCCTTTGTTGTCTCGCATATTTCCGGCTTTGAATTTTGCCAGGATAACATTGCACATGCGATTTCTGGGTAGTCATTGCGTGCCGCGGCATGGAGGCCAGTCCGTCCTATTCTATCCTTAGTCTTTGGATCTGCGCCCTAGTGTAGGAGCAGCTCCAGCGTTTTGACGTGTCCCTTGCTCGCAGCATACCAGAGTGGTGCTAGAGTATCTAATCCTTGAGCATGAACGTCTCCCTTGAATTCGATGAGTGTCTCTATTGCCGTTTTGTGCCCATTTTCCGCGGCGTGAGATATTCCTGAGCGGCCCATCTTGTCTAGTGAGTTTGGTTTGCCCCCTTTCTTTAGAAGGAGGTCGAGAGTCTTTTTATGGCCACCCTGGGCGGCGAAGGATACCGGTGTCCTCCCATTCTCATCAGCTTTTTCTGGATTAATGTCTGTTGTCCCAAGGAGCTGCTCGACTACTTCGTAGTGGCCATGTTCGGCAGCAATGAAGATCGGTGTTCTTTCGTCATCTCTTGTGATATTAGGATCTCCTACTTTCATCCCTAGGAGGTTGGCCAGTATACCTTGGTATCCTTTGCGTGCTGAGATGCCTATAAGCCCATTAACTTTATTGACGTAAGAAGTCTCGTCAGCCGACTTCCATAATTCTCAAATGACTCGATCATCGCTGGTCAGTTCCAGTGGTGTATGGTTCTCATTATCGACTGCTCTAGGATCTGCGCCGTTTTTCAACAGTAGCTTGACAATCTCGAATTGTCCATCTTCTGCTGCAATGTGTAAAGCAGTCTGTTGATAACGATCAGGACGTCCACATTGTTCGCGTTCACGTTGTTCGAGTTCACGAGCTTCTCTACAAGTTCTACGCTGTCCCCCGCACACGCATAATTCAGTATGGAACTACCACAAAGGTCCTTTGCTGCCAGGTCGGCACCCAGCGCCTTAAATTACCTTGTCATGCCCACCCTGCGCAGCGAGATGAAGTGGAAGACGACCGTAATTGTCTCTGAGGTACCGCGAATGAGCCAAGGAAAGCAGATATTCCACCACTTGGACGTTTTTGCCCTGTGCCGCGAGGTGGAGGGGCGTCGAATTGTCGTAGGTTATTTCTGTAAGTTTGGCACCATATTGTATGAGAAGTTCGGTAATGGCCACGTGACCCATTCTATTCGATTTATGAAGTGGCGTGTGAGATGAAGTGTCGTCGTCGGTTTCATCGAGTTCAGCTTGTGCGTCGTTTTGAAGTAGAGTTTCACAACATCTAGGTGGCCAATCTCAGCCGCGAGGTGTAAAGGCACACGCCTGTAAGCATCTTGTAGTCCAGCAGCACCTTCTTTTTGTCCAGATTGTGCCCAAGAGCTCAAAAACAACGTCCTTGTGTACCCTAGAAGTCGCCATATGCAATGGAGTCGACTTATTTTCGTCTTGGGCCTCCAGAATCTGTTGCATCATCGTTTTCATATCAACCTTTTCCAGGAGCATTCTGACAATGTCACTCGGCCAGTGCGCGGTGCGATGTGCAGTGATGTCCTCCCCCTGCTATCGAGGCAATCCAATGTTGCCTGACAATCAAGCAAAGCTCGGATGACTCCCGGCTGTTGTCATTCGCAATGCAAAGGAGTGTAACCAGCGTTAGAAAAGGCACCACTATCAGCTCCTGCCCGAAGAAGACCCTCAACTGCGTCAGCGTGGCCAAACTGACTGGCTAGATATAGGGGTGTTAGGCCTCGTATCGCTGTCTTCTCCATGTTAGACAGGGAAAGAAGCGTTGTTACCGCGATGAGACCTCTGGATCTTGAGACGATTTGGAGCGAAGTGCAACCAGAACTGCTGGAGTCGTTCACGGGCAACTTGTGGTCGATGAGTGTTGGAATAATCGAGTCTTGACCGTAGGCAGCGGCACTATGTAATGGCTCCGTATTCCAAGCCCCGAAGTCTAGGAGTTTCTTAGCAAGCGATTCATTCCGTTTCTCGATTACAATACCAAGCGGTACCCAAAGCCCCCCGTCCTTGGATTGTAAGCTCTGCAGCAGTGTGTCGACGAGGTCACTGCACCCGACCTCCGCTGCGACAGACAATGGCTCCATTTCTGCCCTCGTAGTAAGCGGGTTTTGATACTCCCAGAACAGCTTGGACCATAAATTAACTAAATCATTGTTTCTAAAAAAGACTTGGAAGCTCTGCCGAGAGGCTTCGTCGAGCTCGGCTTTCTGGTAATGTGATGGCCAGTATCTCACAGCGTATGGAAGTAGACCAGGGTTACACTTGACCAGCTGAGCTGCTGTCATTCCGGAGGTCCCATATCGCGAGAATGGGGTGAGATTATTGAGAGATATCTCAGACATGTGCGCGCCATCGCTGCATGACAGTTGAAGCCCAGGACACCACACCTTCCAGGGCCACTCGACGGATCTGCGAGGTAGTTATGCCAGCTTTTATGTGCAAAGTAAATTTCATTTTTCTTGATGTCGATAAGTTGGCCAAACACATTCTTGAAATCTGTCGCAGGATCCATCAGGATGCGAGCCTTGACCTCAGATGGTGAATTTTCCTATTCATTGTCTTCAACGCAAGAACCTCTCCCCCAAAACAAGACTACCTTACTACCACTTTACCAATCCAATTATTGTCAATGCCAGAATAACGCATTGCCAGCGGCCAAATGTGCCAACCTAAAGCCAGCACATCGTCTCATACCGACATGACAAACGCAGTGTCGTGCTGCATTGATCACGTTCATGGCACGCTACCGATTCTGCGGGAGAGTTAACGGTCGCCTTGAGCACATTCAACGCTGTCTTTGAGCCTTGCTGCCTGCGGGAGCCCTGCCATTTGGCTCAAACGGGCAGATCTTAGCGGACAGCAGGGCCGAGGCCCTCAGCGTATAACTCCGCCGTCCTTGGTGTCAAGTGCTTCTATTCCCTTTTCCGCAGAATAACCCTAGGATCGCACTTCAGCCCTACAATGGCCTCCACCGCCGTTGATTTACTAAACGAACATCCGGTGAATGTTGCCCCTGACACGCACTATGTAACAGGCACCGAAAAACGCTGGGCCCAAGCATATCATCCCGTCGATAATATGACGATACGCACCTACCCTCAAGAAAACGGGCTATGCTATCCACACTATGACACCGCCTTCTTGCCAGAGGACAACGATGATGTTTTGCGCGCAAGGCAATGGCCGCTAAACGACCTCAATACAAGATGTGGCGCCTAGAGACCGAATCAGAACTGTTTTGGCATACTGAGATATCGAGAGTTATGCTCGGAGGCTCGGACCAGTGCCCGCAAGTCGTTCAGACCTCTCACACGAAGCCACTCTCAGAGCATACCATCAGCGAAGAAGTGGACGCAACATACGCATTCAGATCTGGCGAACACAAAGTCGCTCTTGCCATCGGGGAGATGAAAAGAGGCCTTGTTAAGGCAGATAAGTGGCAGAATAATAAGGTGCTGTCAAGCACAGCTCAGGTGAAACACTCTCGGGAACTTCGAGGGTGAGTATGAGTTACTCATATATTCACTTTGTTTTTATTTCTTTTGGACCACCCATAATGATAATGTTGGTAGCTCTTGTTTGGCTAATGGGAACCCCAACAGATATGCGCACAAGTATGCATGCCCGCAGGTATTCTGTTTTGATGGTCAGACTCTCCTCCTGCTTCAGTTCTGCGCCAACACACTAGCGGACATAGAACGTCGGGAATGCCCGGTTGACTGTTGGGTGATTCCGCGAGATTGTGGCATTACTCTGCGGTACGCGTTCTACAGACTTTTGCTACAGCGACGGTTGCGAGGTCAGGTTGCGTTGAATGGGTTTTCTTGTAATTTTCGTCAATTCTACAATGGCCGACCTCTCTGGAAGTTTGGCAATGGTCATGTTGCCTCGCACCCCAACGGTTATACGCGTTGGGTAGACTCTATATCGCACAAAAGAACGCGCTCTGATCGAATAGCAATTATACCCCCTTATATTCCGTTGACACTCTAACACGGGAGCCATATATTGGACGCAGCTAGACGGGGATGGTTTCACACCAGAGACTGCAGAGCTACGGAATCTGGACTGATCCATTTACTTAGCTCAGTGTTATTCTGCGTAATTAGCTTCTTCGTCTATTGTATCTCTCGTCTTCCTACCCTTCCAGTGTTCGCGGTCTTCTCTATATTCTAACAGATGCTGGATCTATCGGAAGCTTTTTCAAACTCGTCCTCATCCACAGCTTCATGCGGGACAGTGTTTCGGCAGGCTGCTGAAGCACAGCTTGACGGCTTTTTGAATGGTGTCTATGTTAAACGAGTTGTACTGGCCAGGAATTACGTCCGGTGCCGCTCGATGCTCTCCGAAGTATCCTCGTTTCCTCTAGGGACAAGAATATGCGTTTCTTACGGCCGCGACACCCCTGTGCCGCTGCAACACCCCGTCAGGCGGCATAGATCAGCCACTATCAGCTTGGTTGTAGTTGTAGATATGTGGAGCTACAGTTGGGTGGCTTGGTCACGTTTTGCAATCTACCTATGTAGTTTCAATCGCAAGATAGGACTAAAAGTGCCTGTGTCAACCGACACAAGTATCCAGTTTCGGGCAAAAACTTCTTATAGAAGCATCGGCAGTGGACAGAGATGCGTGTGGCCATTGTCGACCGCCGCCGCCCTGTATCGTTCTTCTCAATTGCAACTGCGGCGTATAATATCATGGTGTGTACATGACTTCCTTGGGGCAAGTGAGATTTCGAACGAATTTGAGCTTAAAGTTCAATCTAGCCAATTCCTAGTCTATTCCAGTAATCTCTACACGACACGCACATAAAGACACTGCGAATAGGTGACTCTTCTTGGTCCCATTCATCACACTTCCTTCCCATGACCCAACTTGTGATAACCTGGCACAACCAGCTCCCCACTTTCTCCCAGTCTTCCCAGTCTCTCAGCATGAGACCCCAATTTCTTCGTTGACATCCAATTTGATGCCATAGTCAGCCATGTTGTTGTATATCTCCTCTTCCATCGTGATTAGGCGCTCACCCATCGTGGTTCTTAAGGGCTTCACCTTCTCGCAGTCTTCATAGAGCTGGTTGACAAGCTTGATCCTGCAACCCTTGGATCGGCCACTACAGCTGCCAAGCTGTCACCACAAACGAAACTCTCAGTCACTGTCGCCAGGAATCTGTCACCCCGCCAGCTTCTCGAGATCACACATGGTTTTCTATGAAAAAGCAGCGGCGGTCTTGCACAGGGGTTATGCTGGTTGGGAGTTGTCCTCTTCATTTGCCTTGCCCATGCCACTGGGTTAGCATTAGACTCTCAATATTTCTTGTTCTTTTATATATTCTCCTTTTTGGCCCTCAGGCTCGCAACAAGCGCTGTGGGCAGAATGGCCGAGTGGTCTATGGCGACGGTCTCAAGCACTTATAAGTACTTTCGCCTGCGAAAAGCAGCGTTCCGTTCACGAAAGTGGCCGGGGTTCGAATCCCCGTTCTGTCAGCTTGTTCTCTATTTTTTTTTCGGGGATATATCCATTTTCTCATCAAGCGAAGACCATACACAACCACCACCAATGTCAGTTCCCTGTAGGTGTTGCGTGTACATTTGCTGCATGGATATTTGCGTCGTGAGTTGTATTGATTCATGATTCAGTGGACCTGTGGACATGTTCATATGCACCCGTCATTCTGGCCTCGACCATGGAGGTGACAGGTATTGAACAAGTGGCGAACAACTCAAAGCCATCGAAGCGGTTGCGTTCCATTACACTCATACGTATATGTTCTTCCCTCTCTTGGTGACAATGGACCGACTTTTGGGCTGGGGATTGTGCAAGATATCACCTTTGAACGCCAATCGAAGTGCGGAACCCTTCGAATGAAGGGCTTGAAATGGCAACGTGCAGACTCAAACTCCGTTCTTCCTATACCGATGCAACATCGCAACACGAGCCAGCTCAAGTTTGGAGAAATAATTGTTTATATTGAGATAGTAAGCTCCTTATTCACTCTCTGACTATTCTGGCATTGGCTGAAGTAGCTTTTGTTAAACACGACAGTCGTAGAATACGAAAGAGTGCACAAGATGGCGTCCGCAACAAAGATTTCCTGCACACAAATTCAAACCTTGATGCCGAATGTAGCTTAAAACGGACGACACAATCCATGGGAAAGACTTATAACTCACGCAAAATATATTTATATAGAAAAGCAAGTATGTAATTCCAACGCAGTGTTGGTTTCCCCTATATGGACTTGTTGGTAATAGTCGCGCGCTCCAAAAGGCAAGTCTGGCCACGCATGCAACTGCTCCAGGAAATCGGGATTCTGCTCGAACTTTCGCTCTTGGCATAATCCTCAATAAGTGTTGATCTATCCGCATTCGCCGCGCGCGGGATCACTCCTTTCATAACAGGATGCAAAAGCTCAGCAATGGCCAGCAGCTTCTCATCCTCAAACTTCCTTGCGGCAAGCCGCAACGATAGTGGCAAGCCGTGAAACGCCTCCGGATCATACAATGACTCCAATCTCGCGTCTTCCTTGCTGAATGGCCCAAAGTTACTATACTTTTGGTCGATGTTCTTGTCTACAGTGAGACCCAACTGGAGTGATATGCCTGGCCAGTCAACACAGCTATAAATAGACGTGTACGTCGTGTCGTGCCATGTGTCCCACGGTAGCGCAGTGTTGGCCGCCGTAACAGATAGCAGCGCGTCGAGAGGCATTCCGCTACTGTTCCACGCCATGTTCATGGCCACAGTCAGATTGACAAGCCGAGTGTTGAGCTGGTAAAATGTGTCCACGCTGACGGGAAACCGCGGTGTATCCGGGACAAAGATGCCCTTGTCCCTCACAATCTTAGTGATGGGCTCTTTGGAGATCACTTCCCGTCAATGTCTCGATGCCCCGGAAGATGAAGCACTCCTTGCACAGATCCCATACTTGGCTCATGTCAGGTGGAGTGAACTCTACCAGCTCGAAGACTGCCGCGCGCAGGCGACTTTGGGCCGTCTTGTATCCGCGCAGGACTGGCGGGAAGAGATGCAAATAGATATTGAGGCTTTCCACGTTCCATACGCCAATACGAGGTTTTTTGGGAGCTGTGACGTTCATCCATGGGCTTGGGTACATGAATAGCGTCTGTGCCTCCCAGGATTTGGCATCCGACACTACCTTGGCCGGCGAGTCGAATGTCTCGAGCAGAGTGGCCCATGAGCCCCATCCCAGCGACTGGACCGTCATGGAACGGCCAGATCTTCCCTCTGTGAAGACCTCACGACCACCTGGAGGAAGGCGGTAGCCGCTAGGTCGCTAGCCGACAATGGCATGTGCCATGGTAGGCATCCTCGAAGAACCGGCACCGTCAGAAGCAACTCCGAGGAGTGAAGAACCAGTGCCAAGGGCAGAGCCCTCTCATCCAGTTGAACCTCCGGCGCCAAAGGTGTTCCTGTGAGCATTCAACGTCCTTCCCCAGATGATGCTGTCCGAGTCAGCCGCCAGGACTGTCTGAGGAATATTTGTCTTGCCAATGATAACGGCTCCGGCATCAGTCAGTATCTATATGAGAGGCCCATTTGATTCCCTTGAGTCAAAGGCTCAGCCAGTTATACCGCATGAGGTATCGAAACCTTTGAAATCCTCGGTATCCTGAATTGTCATGGGCAATCCATGAAGGGGGCCGACAGTTTTTCCCGTCTCATTGAGAATGCGATCGAGTTCCTTTGCACGATTGATTGCGCCGACAATGTTCATTTCGGTCAGAAAGTTCGCTAGCCAGGTAGCTGCTGTAGCGCGCTTACAAATTGCCGTGACCAGCTTCTCTGCGGTGATTTCGCCAGAGGAGAGCCGCAGCATTGTCGTAGCGTCATATTTCTTTGTGGGGGCTCATTCATACGAGAGAACGCCGCTGTTGATAATTTGATTGAGAGGGCTGTATGCGGTCGTATTTGGAGGAGCTTTTAGCTTCCATTCCCGAGGCAGTAGGGCGTCTCTTTCTGCTTGTTTTCGTTTGACTATTTCCTCCCATCCCATGTTGCCTTTCGTATTGTTCTGTAAACCAATGTACTGCGCCATGGCGTTCGATGATATCTGTCTCACTGAGACTTTCCAAGGACTCTTTGTTGTGAGAGAACCGACGGCGGTGGCCGCAAGTATAAGCTCCGACCCAAGAGTCTTCATGACGTAATACTCTGTGGCTTCTATGAAACAATGGAAGCTAAGCTTACTAATGAGAATCGTGCTATCTGTACTCAAGGCCTGGAACTCGAATGTCTCGCTGACTTATCAAGAAATTTATGTCTACTTAGGCCTTAATATATATAACATTTACATTACTATAGAAATCACCCTCGTGGACTTGGTATTTATTCATCAGCATGCCACCATGAATGGCGTATTTCTGGTCACTCAAGGCATAGGCGCATACCTAGGGCCCGTGGCGGCCGGATACATCGTACCATGTCAGGATGGAGGTGGTTGTGGTGGTGGTCCGTCATCTTCATTGGATCAACCCTTGTCCTTGTTCTACTATTCTTCGAAGAAACCACGTACGTTGCGACTATTAATGGCGTGGCGGTTGTTGCGTCCCAGTCAACGGCAAGGACGAGTCCGTTGAAGAAAAGTTGGAAGAGGCAAACGCTCTTGGGAAGACGGCATCGATCGGTACTACGCTACTCAAGTCAGCATCTCGCCCTTTCAGGGGTCGCCGCGTGACGTCGTCGAAGCCTCTGCGAAAACGCCTAACACTCATAACCCACACGGAAGAACCGATTGAACATCATTTATTGACTCTTTTTATAATCCTCTTTCAATTTCCCGCGGTGGTATATACGGTAATAACTGTCGGCTCAGTCATGTCGTGGATGGCTGTGATAATATCTATTGCGACTACACCGTGATAAACCCCCCTTACAACTTTAGCCCAAGTGCCATACGGCTTATTAACCTGGCGCCGTTTGTTGGGCAGCTCATTTCTGGCCTGGTAGCTGCCCCATTCAGCGATAAATGGATCGTGAAAATGGCCAGACGAAACCGCGGGCTGTATGAACCGGAAATGAGACTGTGGCTGGCCGTCCCTGGTGCTGTCCTTCTCTCTGCTGGCGTTCTCATGTTTGGAATCGGAATAGCTAATGTAAGATTTTTTTTTCCCTTCTCCTCTACGAACTTTTATGCCCTGTACTTAACACATGCTCTACAGAATGCTCACTGGAATGTTCTAACCACTGGTATAGCCATCTTTGCTTCCGGGTTCACTCTTGCTCTAGATATCGCGCTTGCCTATTTCCAAGACTGCTATCCGAACGTACGTTACGCCAACTAATATCTTCATTCAGGTCCCAGTTTACGTTCGTTAACGTAAAGCCAGATAATTGGCGACGCGCTCGTCATTGTCTTTCTTGCCCGGAATAGAATCGCTGTTGTCATCTTATTCTATCTAAGCGCATGGCTTGATAGAATAGGTCTGCAGAATATGTTCATAATGATCGGTGTATTGTCCTTTGTTATTCTGTTAGCCCCTCTTCCGCCATTACAATGGTGGAAGCAGGCGCGCATTATAACGATGAAAAACTATCGTCATTATTCTCTTCGACAGCCATTCCGCAGGGCTAAGTAGGAGAAGTCTAGGGGCCATGGGGATTTGCTGCAGGGATCTCAGTAACTTTTCGTATGTAGCTTACATCCTAGTCTATGCTAGAGATCAAGAGTATCCCGAGAGCTCCGTGAGCTCTTCGTTTCGTACTCTATTTTCTCCTTGGCAGAACGTTAAGTAAGACGCATTACACCACTTCTTTTACCCACAACGCCTTAGGCGCTAATCACCTATTATTCACCAAGGGTTATGTGTTCCCGTTGTTTCCCTGGTCGATTTTCGTATTCTAATAGTAAGCTGGTGAAAGTTAAGGACTTGTTCCCAGCTGCCTAGGGCCTATTCGTTGGCGCTTCGTAGCGTTATTACGTTGTGATTGTGTGGTTGGTCTTTTGTTAACATCTAAGGTAGACTGTCCTCCAAGCATGTCGAGGGACGGGGGAGAAATATAGAACTATAGTTCTGGAATCTAGGCCTAGATTTACATTACTGCCCTTGTAAATATAGCTTTTTCCTGTCGCAATAAAATTTCTGTTCTGCACATATTTATTTATCGCGACGCCATAAGTATTAAGGCAAGCATAGTATAAGCGCAAGTGTATAACTTGACTTAGCAACTTTAGTTAATATAGTATAAAGGGCTAGATTATTTACTCCTTAATTACTTGTAAATAGTAGTGTAGTTGGGGTGATCAAAGTTAGCCTTAAATTAATAGACAATGAAACAAGGGGCTTGCTCTTCGTTCCACAAGTGGTTGATAACCACTGGAACATGGAAATTGAATTGGTCTGCTAATACAAGCAACTCACTACCGCGTAGTGCATGACATGCATCCGCTAGCCATTTCTTCTACTGTACTAAAATGTACTGCAGAGGGTAGCCTGGGCTGTAAGGGCTGTGCGATATCACTCTTCTTGCCCTCTTGGTAAAATGTACTGCAGAGGGTAGCCTGGGCTGTAAGGGCTGTGCGATATCACTCTTCTTGCCCTCTTGGAGGATGTTTCCTCCCCATCATAATCTTGGCTGGACTCTAGCCAAAGATGAGAATCTGCATTATCGTCTTTCTCTATAAAGTGAGCCGTATGAATGGCGGCTGTATTAGCAGATAGATTATCTTTCAATGGCGGAGAGGGAGAGCTGTGACTCATATCGCATATAGTATCATTAACTGAGGAATTTGGCTCTCGTACTCTCGTACGTTGGCGCTATTGATGTTTTAAGTTTACTTTACGCGTTGTGCCAAAACTGGTGACGCGATTATCAGCCCCATATCCTACGATAGTGGCTCGGACAGTCGCGTCTATTAGGGATGGGATCATATTATTTATTATCCGCTATGGCGTCCTCAGCTACCCCTGCGACATTGGTGTCTTTTTCAGCTCCTTTATTCAGTATCATGCTTCATACGTTTAAACAAAAAGGTATATATACCTTCACTCTTCTTAGAACTTCGGACTGTTTCTAGGGTCTCGGCTGAAAGCCTAGCCGTGGCGTAGGATTTGAAGAGGAGCGTGAAGGTTATAAAATGTTATTATTCACTGCATTTAAGGCCTTTTTATAGTGCCTAGTTCTTTAGAGATTTATTATATATCGCCGTATAATTGTACCTTTTCCCCTATAAACCCAACATTTCCAAGAATAAGATCCTCCCTTAAAACTAGACTGCCTTACTACCACTTTACCAATCCTATTATTCAATTGAAAACTACCATGTTGACCGATCGACAACATTCCATATTTGTTGAGCCTCAAATCTTGGAAACCGCTCTGCTCTAGGAGGCATTAATAATCACTTTCCAGCCTACGCCCCGGATCCTGGCTAGCAGGGCAAGGTAACCGTCGGGGACTGGGTAACGCATTGGCCGCTAAACACGCCATTGCCAAATGTGTGTGGCTCTTGGAAGTTATTCTCCCTGGCAATCTCTGCGCAGGATGCTTGAAGGTCTTCAAGGGTCTGGTAGACAATCTTATCGGCTCCGAGGTTTTTGGCGATGTCGTCAGTGTTCCACTTGTGAGCAACCATCTCATGGGGCAGGGTAGATCGATTCCGTAGATGTGAGGACTGTTAAAGAGAACACGAGTTAGAGAAGGAGGATCAAGGGGCAATTGAGAGAGAAAATAGGGGGCTAGGCTCACGACATTCCAGGGGAACAACAAGCTGCGATAATGTTTTTTACACCAGCCTCCCTCGCCCTACTAATTGCCTCGCGGCTGGTTGTCCCCGGGGCAATGCTATCATCGACTAGAAGAATTGTGCGGTTTTTAAGCTCCTCCTTGACGGCGCTGAGATTCCGACGGACCCCCTCTGGCGCGTCGCCTGCTCCGGCATGATAAAGGTTCGGAAAACGTAGGGATTGCGAATGTGACCGGTACAGAAAGGCATGTCGAGAGCGTGGGCGACGCCGGGAGCCGCGGGCGATGACGTTCCGGGGACTGGGATGACAACGTCAATTTCTTGAATGCCCTCGGGTCCGAGGTCCTCGATGAGTCTCGCTGCGAGACGACGTCCCATGCGTCGGCGGCCCTGATAGACACTCATGCCGTCGATGACCGAATCCGGGCCATCAGAGTATACATACTCGAAAAGGTCTGGGGTGTAGCTTTTCCTGGGCGCAACCTGACTGAAGACAGGTTTGTTTCCCTTTCTGATAATAACAGCCTCGCTCGGCTGGATGTCACGGACTTTGGTGAAGCCCAGGCGGTCCAAGGCAATGGATTCGGAGGCTAACATATAATCCAGCCCATCTCCATCCGCCGACGGCCTGGACCTTATGAACAGAGGGCGAATGCCATGTGCATCACGGAATCCGATGACGCCAAAGCCTGCAAGCATAGCGGTGCAAGCCCACGCATCCTCGCATCGTTGGTACATGTTGCTCAAGCCGTTAGACAGGTCCTCGGTGTTGACACGGGCCTTCTTAGTCTCATTGAGCTCGTCGGCGAAGACATTGAGCAAGAGCTCGCTGACTCTATCCGAGTTGACGTGGCGGTGGATTTCAAAGTCCAAGTAGCGCCTGAGTTCGGCCGTGTTGACCAGGTTGCCGTTATGGGCGAAGCAAATGCCGTACGGGCTGTTAACGTGAAATGGCTGAGCCTCTGTGTTTGCGGTACCACCGGCTGTGGGATAACGCAGGTGAGCGATGCCCATGCTGCCAGACAGGTTCGTCAGCCGGGTCCCGGACTGGAACACTTCGGCGGCCATGCCATTCTTCAGGTTGTCGAGGTGGCTTACCGGCAGCGTCTTGACCATTGTCTATAGAAGAGAGGGCCAGATTGGTTAGTGGTTAGTGTCTTCATCGGGGTAACAGACTTGATCACGTACGTTGGAATAAGTGAACTGCCTCGTGCAGGTCGTTGGCGGCCGACGACGACGGATTCGCCAGAATAAGAACGAGAACACCGCACGTCTTGACAGAACGATTGAAATGATGATATTGCTACCCATGAAGCAAACTTTACACATCAGAGAGTTTATACCGGTGACTCACACCATAAACTTAAACTTAGACGCAAAACAAGTATTAACGAGGTCTGCGCTCGTCGGTGTTAAAGGCTAGTGTATAATCTGCAAGATACATAGTAGGATATAGGCCTGGAGGACACCCAGGTGCGAGAACGCTCAAAATAAAGTACTCTATACCATACACATGTATATCATTGGTGTAAGCCTTCACAATATTCTACGAAGTAAAACAAGTGTAAAGTGCTGCATAGTCATCACTCTCTCAGGCAACATCTCCCCCCTCCTTCGCGCAAAACATAACGCCAAGACACATCTAAGTGCAAGCATTGCACTTAAGAAAGAGCTTTGTAGCGGTATTGAGACCATGCTCTCCAGCAGGATAAACGGAGTCAGACATGTCCATTTAACGCATTAGTTATAGAGACATTAATACTACTATACTCAAATCCATTATGTCCCCCAATGAATTGCATATTTCCGCCTTAACGCTGCTTACCAATTGGCCTTTGTAAATTGAAACAGGTGACGCTCCGTCGACATCCAATCCCGAAGCGCTGACTCCGTAGTCCAGCAACAACTGGACTCCCTCCATATTCCATATACTAACACATGTCTTTAGTGGTCCATCTTTTCTTTGAAAAAGGCGGTATGCTAGGGTGTCAAATAGAGAACTCGGTAGGCAATCCGGATAGTGGGCTGGGTAGTAACGCGTAGCGTAGTCTGCTGTGGCTAATTTTGAACATCGCTTTTAGAAAAGAGGCCGATTTTTTTCAGTTCGCTCTAAATTTACCAGGTCATGGTCAAGCAACATTATGATACACATACGAGCCATAATCGCATTAGCACGCTCAGCTCTTTCATCACGCTATATATGGCCACATTCTTGGACTCACGAATACCCCCTGATTCTAAGTATTCCTAAACCAGAACAGCAATGCATATGGTTGTTTCTCCGATATCAAAATTCACATCCAATTTAGTGAGTCCAGGACACATCTTCCTAGTTAATATTCTCGAGTTTACATTTTGGATTAAACTTTGGTCTATCCGGCCACTTTCCCCTATGAATGCTTTTTTTGTAAGCCATATATTGTCTTCATCAACAAGCCGTGAGGTCCGAGTCACACCCCTTTCCCTTGTAACGTGCAACCGACAACACGGACTGTGCAGTTACATAGACTAGATTCTAGCTGGCTGAGAAATATGCCAGCCCTGTAACCTGTCATCCTTTGAATTAGGAAAGTCTGGTATGGACAATCCAATAACTCGAAATCTTGATCCCTGTGATTCCCTTCACATACAACTCTCTGGTGTAATCCTGCGCCGAGTCCACCTGTTTAATCTTGCCCGTGCATTTGTCCAGGTGCAGCCAGTCTGTGCCATTAAAGGTAATGTGCGTCCCTTCTGGTTGTTGCTGAATTGCAATATCACAACCGTCATTAGCCAGTGCTCCATGTTTCATTACATTCACTCTACTTCACGCAACGAGTGAGGGACTGCGAAGTACTTACATAGGAATAACGATCTTGTCGTGTGGTCCCACCGTTGCATTGAGAGCCCATCGGATAACAATGTTGTACTTGTGAAAAGCCAGAGCACGAACGACAAATGCATAATGATTCCAGCCAGTGTGGGCCAGCCTCATAAACTTGACTAACTCGGCAGAGGAGCCCCGGCAGCTCTATGAAGCCATTGACACCAGAAGCCGGTCTTGGTATAAGACCACGTCAGGGGTGAGTGTCTTGTTTTCGAGAGCAAAGTCTCCATTCCAAGTATTAATGTAATTGGTAGCCACTTTTGCCGATTACACCCGCTGCCCAAAAAATGGATGAGGCGATCATATTTTCAATATGTCAGGAAAGATATGCGGACTTGAGATTTGAGAGAACTGGGGAATCGACGGCGCGTTTCTTTTTTTTTTTTTTTTTT